GTTCGAAGCTTTCAGGATCGGTCCCCAGAGTCGGCAAGTTATGTTTTCATCTACTTTACTTTCTCGGCACTTATATAGCTTAATTACTACAAATAACATCCCTACATTATCTTGCCAATGACGCCTTCTGGTTCTAATATTATTGTGTCTAACAAAAGAAAGAAGCCATTAAAAGTTTCCTTCTTTCCTGTATCTTCACGCGTAATCCAGACATGTCAAAGTTCCTTCGCAATAACTGCGGATGCCGTGGAACAATTGCTAATACTTCCAAAACATGCCAAATACTCGGTCTAGTCACGCAAGTACACATGGCATGGCTTCTGATATGCTGCGCTTAATTCCCTCACGACCATTTTCCATGGTTAACATTCCTTCCTTCTCTCTTAAACCTCTCTCTCTCTCTCTCTCTTTACAAAAAATATGCTATTATGCGAAATGACTTGCAAACGGTGCTGCTTTTTTTTTTCTTGTTTTTGACAGGCCAAACTTTGAGAACGAAAAGCGGCACTTTGCCCTTTCTGCTCGAAGCATGAATGTTCGTGGTCAGCTACTGGAAATACAGTTTGAAACGTAACTCTCTTCCTATTTTACTGCGTCCCTTCTATTTGCTTTCAATATGGCCCCCTCCGCTCCCATAAAGTGGAATGGTGCTGCTGGCGCTGTTTCGGATTCGCGGGATTAGCCACAAAGACGTCTTGATGCCGATTTTGTCGGGGTGCTCCTTCCCAAGTTAGCGCTGCTAAACGAAAGAGCGCGAGGGAACGCTGTTCCAGCTCCCCAGTGCGCTGTTTCTGTAATAAATTGCGCGCGCTGGCCGCAGCTTTGTCTCGGATTATATGCCCGGAGCGGGGCACAAGAAGTCTTTCCTGCGTATCCCAGCGGTACCTTCCATGTAGAGGCGCCTCCTTCGCGTCTCTTCTGCGCTAAATATTTGGACATCCGTTCGTTTCCTGCGAAGACGCGGCGGACTCCTGTCTTCTCCCTTTGACTTTAACTCGCCATCTGTCATGCAGTCTTTTCTGTTGGAAAAAAAAATTAAGGCGGCTTTACAGAAGGCTTTTTGAGCGAGTACTATGGTTATCAAATATATGAATATATTTGGGATATTTTTCTTCTCCAATAGCAATCAGCAGTGAAGGGTTAGATTTTGCAATAAAGCGGTGGTTCTTAAAATAATTAGGCACACAAGTACGTGCGTTAGTATTATACGAAATGATTTTTTAAATTCTAAAATACTGGAAATGTTGGCGATGTGCAGTTACTTGTAAAGTTGACCTCGTTAATTTTGATGCATCCTTTGTTTAAGATAACGGGGAACACCACAAGGACAATTATGGTGGTCTAGTCAGAATTTCAAGCACCGAAACCTCACAAGGCAGTACTAATAAAAAATACTAACAAGAATAATTACTGTTCTGAAATATATGGTAATTAAGGCTGTTAGGCTTCCAAACTCTCTTTTTTATTCTGAATAATTAGAATGATGAGAAGTGTACACATGCACACATATGCAACCCCACCACACACATGAAATGTTCCTTTAGCTATAGCGTAGTATGGTAACGAAATATAATAAATGTTTTGACGATCTCTTCGCAGATGGAAACTCGTTTCAGCTAATAAAAGACGCTAATGCAGGATTTGGTAAGTTTTATGGGCCAAAAGCTACTTTAAGACGATTTTCAAAATATGGCTGTAAAGCAGCGGTAGTAAAAGCTATAACTATATGAAATCTGTGAGAAATTTTGAACATAAATACTGGTTGCAATCGCTCAAAATTAGTTTTAAATAATATTGCGGGCTTTGTAGTTTATATTTTTGTTAGTTTTTCTACATGCATACTTCTTTCTCAATATTTATTTATTTTAGAACATTTTGGTTTTATAAAATAAAGATATCAATTGACGCTTTACAGAAGTGAAACTAAAACTGTGAGTGCACCGAAAAAGAAGATAGAGTTGTTATGTTTCTTTATGTTTGTCTATTTTTGAAAATCGCCACTAATGAATGTTCTTTTTACTGCTAAGTACAAATGTATACGTCAGGTTACTGATTCTAGATTTAGTTACATAAATGCTATTAATTAAGACACGTAAAAATTTCTGCTTGCTTATTCCCCTAGTCACCGAGCAAAATAGGGCACACAGTCTTTTTAAGCTGTTGTTAAAAAAAAAACCCAGAAATTAAGCACGGGTGCACTTACTTTTCCTAATATCGTGCAGAAAAAAAAAAAAGAAAGAGGGGGTGGAATTAAGATTTTTTTGTGAATCCCCGAGTACCCAAGTGTGACAGGTTTTCTAAAAGAAAAAAAATATCTATGATATGATTGCGAATCTCAAGATCAATTTTTTTGTCAAGCGAAGTCGTAATTCACCTTCATTCAGTTAATTTGTCGTAATAACCGCATTAAAGTTCGAAAACAAAAAATAAAGCATGCCTCATGTACCCCTCTTCGCTTAACTGTATGCGGAACCTGATTTCGCTGCGTCCAAGAAGGCAACAATCTTCTCGAACGATTCTTTCTTGAATCAGTATTTTGTAGTGCAAGAATACAGTAACACGTACCTGCAAGTGGCGAATTACAGCTTTAGTTCGTGTTTCGAACTCGTAGAGCGTGCTTTGGAAATGCTGTTCTTGAAGGCATTAATTTTGTAGCAACAGGGCGTATACATCTCGAAGACTGCGTAGGTACTCGTCAGCGAGAAGTGACACGACCTCACTTTCACGCAGGCGACAGAAATACGTATTCATGCTATAAATGAGAATGACCCCTCGGGCGTTACACCGAGGGGGGGGGGGGGGGGAGCGTGGGGAGGTGGTCAGCATACAGGTGCGAAAAAAAAAAACATTTCCTCGATTCGACATCATTGCTCTTCAGAATGTTTCCTCCGTTACGGCACAGACTTCTGTCACAAACTTCGGAAAAAGGATAAATAGGCAAACATGTGCGTCCTGGGCCGCACGGAAGAATGATATGTTTTATTTGGCTTCATTATTGATTTCAAATTTTATCGAGCCCTCCACTACGGCGTCTCTCATAATCATATGGTGGGTTTGGGACGTTAAACCCCACATATCAATCAATCAATCTCCTTGTCTAACTCCGTAATCATTAGTTGCAATTCGTCCCCTGAGTTACTAAGCAATGCAATGTAATCGGCCAAGCGCAGGTTAATAAGGTACTCTTCATTAACTCCTATGCTTAACTGTTCCCATTCTAGGCCTCTGAAAACCTCCAGTAAGCACGCGGTAAATAGCATTGGGGAGATTGTATCCCCCTGCCTTACAGCCTTCTTGATTGGTATTCTGTTGCTTTCTTTATGAAGCACTATGGTAGCAGGTGATCCCCTATAGATTTCTTCCAGGATGTTTATATATGCTTCATCGACGCCCTGATTCCTTAGTGAACGTATTTTGTACTAATTCAGGCTCGTAATCACCCTATTGCGCACATGCTCTCTAGAAAACGTGCTTCTCACTCATACAGGTTGAGTGACGTTTCTTTAAAACAATGAATACCCCGTTAATTTATGTGATGGGCCCTCAAAATTTCTAGTGCTACCTTGCTTTTATTTTCTCCCAGGATCATAATCTGCATGAAGCATGATGTGCATTCACATGAAGTAACATGCGCGCTTAAATGCACACTGTCATTATTCATTACCATGAGAGCGTGTTCCCTCGCTATGGTATTTTAGTGTATTCTAGTACAGTATTCTTGTATATTCTAGTATAGTGTTCTAGTTCTACTAGAATACTATATAACTAGAATACTATAGAACTAGAATACTATAGAACTAGAATAATATACTCAACCGCATAAAATGAGGGTTCCTAAAATGAGTTTTCTCCGCTCTGTATATTTATCCGCTCAGGGGAATTTATCGAATTCCGAAAAAGAATTGGACATGAGAAGTTATAGTGTGTATTTCGTTGCAGAAAGTGGCGGCAGCGTGGTCATCTTGAAACATTCAGTTCGGGAAGTACCTGCAGCATAAAGCAGCCGACTTTAACCGATTATTTCCCCTCCCTCAACGCCATGTATAACATAACAAACACATGAAGTCAAGCCAATTAGTATCTTCTTATCATGAAATAGGCGTTTCTATCTCCAGCAATTTTCCTTCTTTTCATATCCAAATTTTCGTCATTCTTCGATGCAAACGGTAGTTTCTGGGTGGCCGTACTCATATTCAGCATGCGGTTTCGGCAAAAAGCTCTTTAATTTTCACTCGCACTGGTTTGAGCGATGGCCTCTCGCGCACGCGAGTTTTAGTGAAAAATATTTGAGATACCAAAGCCTCCGCAGTAAGCGCCAAGCGTAAGTCATTGATATGCGCCGTATGGCTCAGCGATGGCGACCACATGTCGCCAGTAATCAGGAATAAGCGGGAGAGACCCGAGCAGTCGTTGAAGGGCAGCTGATTAATCTGCCCGAATCGAATCATCTTTATGCCCATTAACGTCGGCGGCGTTTCCACATTCCCGCTCCAGCCAAATGCCGCCTCTGTACGGCGGCAGGCAATCGAAGGCGCTTGCTGCGCTGAGAGGTGTCGGGGAGCACTGAGAGCGTTTCCTGCAATCGGGCTCTCGGATCCGAGACGGTATATGCGCCGGCTGCAGCAGGATCGATGCCCGTCGGCCATAGCTGCGAAAACAGAACCCTGTGAGGAAGCAGGTCACTGCGCTGTCGCTCATTAAAGTTTGCCTCCACAGATGGCAGTGCCGGCGGAGAGTTACTGTCCGACCTGCCCCCTGCCCGCATCAATGTGCACCTACATGCCCTAGCTAGAGAGAACTGTATAAAGTCTTCGCAACAGTTATCCGACAGAAGTCGCTGGTGAGTCTCTGCTGTCGACTCGAAGTCCCCAAAAAGGACACTGATGTTGCGCGGCTGTTTCGTGTGGGCTACAGGAGTCTTTCTGTACGATGGCCCTCGCAGCATCCCCGGCATCGGTGGAACCGATCGATGGGATGCGGGGTGCTGCCTACGGAGGAAGGCGTTGACGCAGTGAAGCTCTGAAAGAGTCACCGTGGATGCCGATGATGCTCCTCCGGCTGGTGCTTCTTGTGGCGGCCGCGTGCGCGTCACGAGAAGCCAAGCGGCTGCACGACGACCTGCTGTCCGACTACAACCGGCTCATCCGTCCTGTCGGTAACCATTCGCACAAGGTGACCATTGTCGTCGGCTTAAAACTGTCGCAGCTCATCGACATCGTAAGTGACCGGCATGGGCGACTTTCCATGACCAACACACGTTCAAGCTCATGCCATCGCGAATACTTCCTTACAGAACCTCAAGCACCAGGTCATGACTACAAATATTTGGCTTGAGCAGGTGAGCTGTTTACTCTTTACGATTATAAAGGCATACAGGCTTGTTTTTGATTTAACTTCTGCGTAGGTAAAATTGATACACGTGCTAAAGTAACTGTGGACAATGATAAACGAACTGCTTTTTTGCCACAGAATGAGTTTGCCAACTTGTTTGAGGCTACATACAGCCGGCAATCAGGCCATCTGCGTTTTCGCTCCAGATGAGAGGTTTCAGCAGCCTCCCACAAGAGGGCCTCACTGACTTACCAGCGCAATTTCAACGTCATCGAGGAGGGGATGAGAGCGCACTCAATGTGCTGCTGTGGGCTACAGCGAAGGCCACAATGCCAGGAAGGGTTGCTTGATGTCTGAAGGTTAACTATGACGTCAAAAACGGAAGTGGCTTTGGCTGAACTACGAACGCTGAGGATTAATTTGGTACAGCTTGACTCGTTGATCTTATTCTATAACACATGCTTAATTGAGACGTTATTCACTGTTACCGTAATATTGAAAAAAAGAAAGAAAATTGATGTAACTCACAGCTTAACACAGATCCTTCAATAGTGAGAAAAATGATGACTATCGACACAGCGACCAACAACTTTTGAAGCTACGCATGTACCTAAGCAATAAATGCGAAAAAAAAAGGAGCCCTAAACAGTGACATAGGGTAAGCGAGGCATAGTGACGTACAATACTGTAGCTTCAACTAAAAGCGATTTGTGTATTAGCAATGTTTATTCGATTAAGGGCTAACTTAAACTACAGCATGATTTCTTTCTTAGGATTAACCAATTTTCACTCGTCGGCGCATTGCTCACAGCACATCGCAAGTAATGCCAAAAGCTAACACCGATAGACGCGCAGCAGTGCGCACGCCAAGTGATTTGCAAGCATTCTTCCTGACGTTATCTGAATCATATGCGCCCACTGAACCAAACGGCAAGGGTATACGATGCTCTTGAGAGGCCCGCCTCACGAAATGACTGCTTCATCTGCTATTTTTTTTTCATATTTATACTATCCTCGGACCGCGCCTGTGTGGGGCGTGTGTTGCACGAAGAACACGAACTCAAGAAGGACATGGCACATGCCATTTCGCAATATGTAGCTAGTTTCGCAGAAACTGCGGTGTTGACGTCGTTGGCTGTGAGCGAAAAGTCGGCGTTGTCTGGGAGTAAAAATTCGAGATGGTTGCGGAATAATTGGCGCAGCTTGCGCAAGCCCTAAGCCCCACAAGTCTTCAAACAGCGAAACTGAATGATGACTAATCTGCTTGCTTTTAGGTTGTTCATAGGCCGAATGTGATGAGGGTTGTTCATTGGTTGTTTCCAGGTCGTTGCTAGGCTTTAGCTATAGGATATGTTAAAGCCTAGTACAACCACATGCTAAGACATTATAGACAAGTACTACGACGTCAGCCAAGTACTATATACGATTTTATCGAACTACCACGGCGTGATAGCAATCACTACGAAGTTATATTTAGGTGCAGTAGCTATCCAAGTGGTTTAACTGAAGGTGAGTGTAAATTAGACATAAATTATTAAAAAGACGTGATTGTCAACATTAGAGAAATCTCCTATCTCGGCTCTTGGGAACTCGTAGGGCTTGTCCCTGCTATGAAAGAGTCTCTATAGCATCTACTATTGTTGCTCATCTTCCGAAGCCTCGGCTTGTGTTGCATTACCAAGCGACTGTAGTCATCGCAAATCACTCATTGGTTCGGCAGCTTCATAGCCAAGACCACAGTTACTCACTGCAGTCCCTGTTATCGAAACTGTGACGGGGATGTGCGTGACAAGTGGTGCGTAGTGGAATTTCACCAATATGTGGGGCACATACCGTTTATGCTACAGTTTTAGCAATACGTAGCAGCGAGCTGAGTTTAGAGGGAGCTTTGGTGACGTTCTTTGAAATGCATATGATGGAGTTCTTATACAGTGGAGAAAAACAAGTTCATCTTTTGGTATTGCCATTCTACGGGCTTCAAATAATGTCTCAAAAGGCTGTATAAGTACCTCATATCGATGTATTTGACATGTAACTCTACGCACACATATTGACTACCTGCGAGGACTCCACGATTATTGGCTGCTTTTAATGCCTCTGCTACAGGAGTGGGAAGACGACAAGCTCCGGTGGAACCCGGAGGACTACGGCGGCGTGGACATGATCCATGTTCCGGCTGAGAGCCTCTGGCTTCCGGACATCGTGCTTTTCAACAAGTGAGCAATGGACAAGCTGTAAACTCCTCCCCCAGCTTCGTATATTCCATCAAGTTTCTACATTTGTGAATCACGGTGTGTGAGCGCTTTAAATTCGCATTACTCGAGCAACCATTAGAGGTGAAAGAAAGAGGTTTAGAGCTTTTTATTTTCATACCAAAAAGGTAAGATAAATGAAGAAACATCTGTACGTCATGTAAGCGTCTCAGTATATAAGCGCCTATGTGCTTAAATTTAGGTGTGGCTTAAAATCTGCAGTTGGTGAAAATTGATCTGCATTACTTTTCAACGGCGCACCTACACATCATGAAGTGGTTGTAGCATCTAATAACCACAAAATCAAGCTTTAATTTTCATAGGCTCTGATAGAAGGAAACGCGCTTCGTCAGCAAATAACCTGAGAGAGGAGAGAGACGAAGAAGAAGACCGGGTGATAAACCAGATATTAGCATCCTGTTTGCTACCCAACACTGGGGGGTGGGTTAAAGGGGCGAGAAAGAAGGTGTCGGGATAGAGAGAAAAAAAGGAGAAAAAAACGCATGTGCACGCAGAAGAAAACAAAACACACACACAAAAAAAAGCGCCCTATAGCAAAAAGCGCCCTATAGCACTTGCAGAGGCTTCTTTTCTGAGGTCGCATACTGACGATGGTGAACATTTATTTCCTCCGACAGAGGTGTCTTATCTAAGCTGTTGAGCACGTTCCAAAGACATAGTCGTTGTGCACTATACTGTCGGCTGTCACAAAAGATACGCCCAATACTTTTTTTGTTGCCCCAGGTTGCGGTATTCACCATCCCACTGTGGAAACTTGGGGTAACTTTAGAGATTGGCAACAGTCAACGCAGCGAAAACAATCACGGACTGACACAACGCATGCGTAGTGATCTTAACGCCCTTAATGAGCAATTTTTTTCTGTTCCACAGTGCGGACGGTAACTACGAAGTGATCCTGATGAACAAGGCGACCGTCTATTCGACAGGCAAAGTGGTCTGGAAGCCGCCGGCTCTCTACAAGAGCACCTGCGAAATCGACGTCGAGTACTTTCCTTTCGACGAACAGAACTGCCTCATGAAGTTCGGATCGTGGACCTACGATGGTCTTGAGGTGCGTCCATCGTCCAAACTGGTCGCTCGACTTTGGCCCCAAGCCACGATAAGTTAGTTTTGCGTGAAACCTGCATAAGCAGCACACCCCAACTCCTGACCCGCGTTTCAGCTGGTGTGCAAATTAACTTTTATAATGAACTTCTACCATCTCGCCTAAACGAGTACCCGACGAATTGTACGGAGAAATTATTGCGCATATGTGTTCTTTAGGCTCGTCGTTACTGTATATCTCCAGTTACTACACTCAAGGGTATTTTTTTCAGCGAATGCCCACTGTAATAATATTCAAGGCTAAGCCCTCATAATTTTGCCGAAGACGTTGTTCCAGGGCGAGTTTGTGCCTATGTTTGCTGGACATGCTTTTTCTAGCACAATTCATCGAACATAAAGAAATGATGGTTTTGAGCCTCTTCTCTGCCATTTCTACATGTTTCAAACAGTGTGCCAGTAATGGCGTTTGTTGTAACCATTATTTTGGCTTTCTTTTCATTATTATTATTCCTATTTTGAAGTCATAGCCTTCTAAACACTAAATGCAACCTGCATATAGCTTAAGAATGTCTTAATTTATATAATATAATATTTCTACGACCAGCTTTCCTTAGGTTTTTCGAGAGGTATTTAGGCCATGATGTGTGGCATAGCAGCCGCTCACGTGGAACCAGGGCGTCGCGACATTTTGGCATTGCCCCTAGCTCGGTCGACTGGCAGGCATGCTGCTGTGTGGAGCCTCACATGGAGCAGCGGAGGAGCCCGAGCGAGCAAAAGCCCGCGCCAATGCACCGCGATGTCTTGCTACCACGTGATCACCCACTGCGTGGTGACGTCACGGCAAGATAACGTCCTTGGGTACTCAACCCAAAGTGCTTGTAAAAAAAATTAAGGCAGCTTCACGCCCAGTATGAAATAAGTGCGGAACAGGGTGGCCTTCTTTATTTCTCTTTACTCATTCTCTTTACTTCTTCAACTCTTTCTTTTTCTCTGTGTTTATCGCAGTTTTTTCCTCTGTTTATTTCTATTTCTTTTGTTCTCTTTCTCGCTTTTTCTATCTTTATTTATTTTTCTTCCGTCTTTCTCTTGCTTTATTTGGTCATTTCTCTTTTTCTTTCTTGGTCTCTGTTTTCTCATCTCTTGTTTGCGTGTGTCAATTCATTTCTCTGTCTTGATTTATATTCAAGTTTCTTCTGTTTCTTTCTCTCCTTGTGTGGCTTCCTTTTTTTCTTTGTGTACTTTTTCCTCGCCCTTCAGAGAGCTTTTGCATTCCACGCCTGTCAAATCGGCGCACGCGTTCTGGGAACAAATCAGAAGATGAATAAGAGGACGAAGAGAGTACACGACAATTCATGACGATTGCAATTTTTTTCGCTACTAACTGGGATTTTCCGAGCTTAAACAGATACACTGCTAAAATCTAGTTTTTATGTCATTTTGAGCGCTCTAATAGCCTCCCAGTATTCCCCCCCCCCCTTCGTGACCATGAAGTTGGAAACAGCAAAATAGTAATGCATTTTTAATACATAGTAACCAACAATCGTAGCATGTTTTCTTTTTGGACTGAGACTCACCACTTCTACGTGGTGCTGCAGCTTTAGCGTGAAAAAACAAAAAAAGGAGATAGAGAAAAAGAAAAAAAGAAATAAAGAAAGGGAAAACAAAACAAACACGAGCGATACCATGAGCTGGCTCCCACATAAATAATATTGACGTAAAGTGTTCGCCATTACATAATTGTAATGGCTGTGAGTAGCTGTAATCTGATTTACTGCTCACGGTTTTTCGTGCACAGCGGCTTTGAGAATAAACTTTAGCGGACACTTCTTAGTGGGATTGTGCAGAGTGTGAAAATGTATAGACTGTGTCACGAAAGCATTCAATGTTAGTTGATCTAACCATGTTAACAAACAATATTTGAAAGTTCGCTTACCTATCTTGTCTGCTGGAAAGTTCAACAAGAATTGTACTGGTGCTCTTTTAGCATAATTTCTGGGAAACAATTTTAATTTTCTCCCCTTTTGTTAACTAGTACTGATGAATTATTTCACTGTTGTCTAGGTCAATGTTAAGAAAGAAGATATTATGGTGACATCCTGTCTTCATAAATTCAAATCGGTTCTTCGGGGTCCTGCGATGTCGTGGCATAGTTCAGAAAGGGAAGTTAACAACAACCTTTTTTCACCACAATACCACAAATAAATGCTAGCTTGCTGGATAGTTAAATTGGTAGAACGACCATCCCGAAGGAAAGACATCGGTCGTGGGTTCAATAGCTGGACCAGGACCAATTTTTATGGGACTATAAGAGGCATTCACTCTGTGTGATCTGCATAGGCTTCATTCTACAGACGGGTAGTGTCCCTTTCATGTCTTCAATGTTCCACGTCACGAGTGAGGCGTCTGGGCGCAGGTGGACCTCCAGCACGTCAAGCAACGTCCCGGCGTGGCCGTAGTGGAGACGGGCATCGACATGAGCGAATTCTACAAGTCAGTCGAATGGGACATTCTGCGCGTGCCGGCCAAGTACAACAACGAGTTCTACGACTGCTGCGAGGAGCCGTTCCCCGACATCACCTTCAACATCACCATGCGCCGAAAGACGCTCTTCTACACGGTCAACCTGATCATCCCCTGCGTGGGCATCTCGTTCCTGACTGTGCTTGTCTTCTACCTGCCCTCGGATTCCGGCGAGAAGGTGACGCTCTGCATTTCCATCCTCGTCTCCCTCACCGTCTTCTTCCTCCTACTCGCCGAGATCATCCCGCCCACGTCACTGGCCGTGCCCCTTCTAGGCAAGTGCATTATGAATTGCTTGACAAGCTGGGTATAGTCAGACATGAAGCGAGCTTACCGGCCAAATGAGAAATCCGCATTACGAATGTATACTATAAGCATAACCTCAGCGCTTGTTGCAGATGCTGCACGTTAAATGCGTAGCGTCCTAACGAACTGCGCTACGGGGCGCGAACGCTTGTGCCATTGTGCGTCAGTGAGCAATGCAGGTGTTGACTTGAACGCGGACAAACACCAACACTTTAGCGCGAAGTCGTGTTACTCTCTGACTACTTTTGCACAAGGTAGCTTTCACCACTACAGTTGAACCCCTTTATAACAGAGAAGACATGCACTCGGGAGCACTTCTCATCCTTTATATGAGGTGTCTTTTACAAGCAGGGTACCGCGCATGCACTGTCTTATCAACACCTATTTTTATGCTGGCACTGTGGTGTCTCTTATACCCATATGCCTCTTACATCGGTGCCTCTTATAAAGGGGTTCATATGCATATGTAATGTAAAAGTGCAGAATTGGGCGTTACTGACTCGCTCTTCCTTTTAGGCAAGTACCTGCTGTTCACCATGATCCTCGTCACGCTGTCCATCTCGGTGACCGTCGGAGTGCTTAACGTGCACTTCCGGTCACCATCGACACACCGCATGGCACCCTGGGTGCGGCGCGTGTTCGTACACCTCATGCCGCGGCTACTATTCCTGCGGAGGCCCGATGCTGCCGACCGCCAGCAGCCGCCCGTCGATCCCTTGCAGCTACTGCTACTGCGACGGCCCACCGAACCGATGATGCCGGCGCCCGTGGTGCCCCCATCGGCAGCCGCCGCGGACCACCAGCAGTCCGAGTCTCCCGAGGCCGGCTCGTGCACTCCGGAAGTGCGCAGGGCCATCGACAGCGTGCTCTTCATTGCCGACCACATCCGCAAGGAGGACGACGACGAAAGCGTGCGTACCGTTAAAGTCATCGTAAAGCGCATCCATACGGCGCCACGGAAAGAAAAAAAACACAGGCACAAACTCACAATTATTTTATTAGAGGCATATTCGCAGGTAAGCTGCGCAGGCTCACCGTTACAACTTGCCAATACATAAACTTCAGTGAAGCCACTTATTATGTGCCGGTGGTCATCCTCCCTTGTGTTGGACCTTCTCGTTGCTCTTCACGATGAACTTTTCAGAATACTATCTCACCCTACAATAAACTCTTCTTTCTCTCGTCGTCCGCTTGTTGTGCCTGTCACTAAAGGGGGCCCCTTACTCACACTTAGCGATGCACTGCAAGAAATGCACATGCCAACCGAAATTTTACGACACACGAATAATTGACAGGCACAACAAGCGGACGACGAGAGAAATAATGGAAGCATATAGAATAAGGAAAGGAGGGGACAGTTGCGTCAACCAAACGTCAGTTCTACTAACAGATGCGGAATTAGCTTTTTTGGACGTCACATAGCACAGTGTTTTTCTCTGTGTTACGTTTTTTTATTTATGTTTCTTTGTTTTTTACGTTTTCTTTTCTTAGTTCTTGGTACGTGTTTGTTTCCGGTTGTGGGCGCGTGCATATTTTGTATTATCACGTTTTTGATGATGACAGGGGAAGTTGGGAAGTGACGTTCATGCGTGTGATGTATTTATTAGTGTTCGCTTCGAAATAAAAATTTCAGTTGCTAGTAAGCGCTTGTCTGTGTCCTCTCTGAGTGTGTGTATTTTTTGCGCTTGTCTCATCATGAACCATTACCAACACGCCCAACTGGCAGTCATCCTTAATGTAATTTCTAGTACAAAGGGCCCTTTTCCATGTGTTAACACCGCCTTCCTTTCTAACCCTGCCACCATCACCTCGTTAATCGCTCTCTACGTTTGCAAGATTCGCAATGCCTTTTGGTATAACCGAGCGTCGCTGTGCCCCCCGGATGTGCAACTTTTGTGCGGGTTACTGGCTCCTACTCGTGGAAACAGCAGACGTTTATGCAAAAAACTGTCCTTGGAATGGAGCCATCAGGTTCGGTACTTCAAAGACTGCTTGCGAGTGGCCTGTCGCACTCAGAGTGGAAATGGACACCGACATTACCGAGAGTGGCTACGGCTGTCAGAAAGTGCCACAGAGGCTTTGTGGAACCAGGCACGAAGAAGTTTACCCAAGAAGGAAAGACGCACAAGTACGGAAGGAAAGGTCATGTTCCTAGGAGATCTGGCTTTGCCCGACCATCATAGAAGGCTTCTTCAACACGGACCCAAGTTCTGTGTGGAACCAGTTCACTCCCGTGCCGAGAAGATGGAAGTGGCCAGGTCCGTGGCAAGCCGTGTGAAGGACGAGGAAAAACTGATGTGCAGTACTGATTGCGTGAATGTGTTTTCGTCTAGCAATGTAACACCGCACATGGCAAAGAAAATGGGACCTGTGATTAAGTTCCTGTTTGCTAGTGGTAGTCGTATTGCGGTTTCGGATAAGGAGGGTTACTTTGTGATTTTGCCAGAAAAGCTATATTTGGAGAAGGCCCAGGCTGCTATAGAAAAGAATTTCCGCAAAGTTGAGGAGAAGGTTAGCCTTGTAAAACGTCGGGCGGTTAGGAAGCTAGATGACTTGAACCTGAGCAGGCTGTCTTCAGCAGTAAAAGGTTAAAAAGGCTTGTTGCTGGAAGCGTTCTTTACGGTGAAAACACACAAGGAGAACCTTCCGTTCCGAACCATTGTCTCGGAAAGGGGTACCTGGCTACGTTTCGTGTCCGAATTTTTGCAAAAACACCTGAAAACGCTCCGGTATTGTGACCCGTTTTTGGTTTCCAATTCCATGGAAGTAGTGGACTACTTAAAGGGAGATAGATGATGTAAGGGTCTCTGATGCCTTCAGTATTGATGTCGTCGATCTATATTATTCTGTTCTGCATGGTCCTTTACTACAAAGCGTCCAAGAGTGCATCACCAGAAAAAAATGATGAAGTGGTTTTTTGTAACGCCTGTGGTGTGTCTGTAGAAGGTTTTATGGAGATTTTGGCCATGTATCTGAGTTCCACGCTAGTGGGGTGGAATGAAGAAGTGTACGTCCAGAAGGATGGGATTCGCATTGGGTCTAGTATCGCCCCGATCTTATGCAATGTTTTTTGAGCAAACTTGACACAGCAGTAGGTAAAGAGCTAGATGGTATGGATCTGAAGCTGTTTATATTTGTAGATGACTACCTTGTTTTGGTAAAAAACGATCCGGGTATGAGCACGTTAGTGACTGGTTTAAAAGCTTTTAGGAAAAACGGGTGTGGCTTACAGTTTACCTTTGAAGTGCCAAAGGAACGACGCATTCAGTTTCTGGACCTAGAAATAAAAATTAATTTGTCTCCTTTTCACACGTGTTGGATGTATCACCCTAGATCGGAAAAACCATTGCTGAGCTATCATTCGGCACATTCGAAAATAGTAAAGAATGGGATTGCAACTTCTTGCATAAAAGCTGCCCTCATAAAATCGTGCGTACACTCATGGAATGAAAGTGTTTCCGCGCAGATCAAGCGCTTGAGGGGAGCCGCTTACCAAGATGATTGTATCCTTTTGGCCTGTGAGAAGAATCGTCGGGAAGTAAAAATTGCAATCATTGGTACAAGCCAAAAGAGGAGAGAGACAAGTTGAGGGTAAAAGAGAGCGGACAGTGGTGATCCCGTATCTGCACAATATTTCACATAGATTGAAAAAAGTTGCATTAAGGTATGGCGTGTGGGTTGTTTTTTCAGCTGAAAACAAGTTATCAAAGATTTTGTCCAGCAGTGGAAAGGCTAGCTAACAAGAAAAGGACTGGGGAATCGAAAAAAATTCAGCATAAAGCATGGCAGGATAGATTGATTGAATCATATGTGGGGTTTAACGTCCCAAAACCCCCATATGATTATGAGAGACGCCGTAGTGGAGGGCTCCGGAAATTTAGACCACCTGGGGTTCTTTAACGTGCACCCAAATCTGAGTACACGGGCCTACAACATTTCCGCCTCCATCGGAAATGCAGCCGCCGCAGCCGGGATTCGAACCCGCGACGTGCGGGTCAGCAGCCGAGTACCTTAGCCACTAGACCACCGCGGCGGGGCTAAAGCATGGCAGGAGGTACGTTGAGTGCAAAAAAGATGTTGTATACGGAACTCCTTTCACATGTGGAAAGGAATACGTTGGTCAGACGGGTCGGTGCATAAATGTGCGCCTTCGTGAACATGAGAGTTCGCTAAAGGGGGCCCCTCACTCACACTTATCGATGCACTGCAATAAATGCACATGCCAACCGAAATTTTACGACACACGAATAATTGACAGGCACAACAAGCGGACGACGAGAGAAATAATGGAAGCATATAGAATAAGGAAAGGAGGGGACAGTTGCGTCAGCCAAACGTCAGTTCTACTAACAGATGCGGAATTCGCTTTTTTGGACGTCACATAACCCAGTGTTTTTCTCTGTGTTACGTTTTTTTTTATTTATGTTTCTTTGTTTTTTACGTTTTCTTTTCTTAGTTCTTGGTACGTGTTTGTTTCCGGTTGTGGGCGCGTGCATATTTTGTATTATCACGTTTTTGATGATGACAGGGGAAGTTGGGAAGTGACGTTCATGCGTGTGATGTATTTATTAGTGTTCGCTTCGAAATAAAAATTTCAGTTGCTAGTAAGCGCTTGTCTGTGTCCTCTCTGAGTGTGTGTATTTTTTGCGCTTGTCTCATCATGAGCAATTTCTGTACAGCTTCGGTCCTCCGTACCCGTCGCGGTCACCTAGTGGTTATGGTATTCATCTTCTGACCCGCCGGTCACGCGTTCGAATCTCGGCCGTGACGGCCAAATTTTTTGTGGTGGTGAAAATGCTTGAGGCCCGAGCACTTAGATTTAGGTGCATGTTTAAGAACCCCATGTGGTGGAAATTTTCGACGCCGTCCACAAAGGCGTCTCTCATAATCATATCGTGGTATAGGGACGTGAAACTTCGTCAGTTATCAATAATTTGGTCCTTCGTTTCCAGTGTGAAGTGGCAGGCTAGAGCGCATGTACTTTGGTAGGCATTTCTACGGTTAGATAATTGAATATTTTTTTTCATGCTTGGCAAGTCACCAAGGGCCGTATTTTAAGCGAACCGAGACAGGTTAGTTTGTAAAAAAATCCAAAAACCGCCGCAGCCAGTCATATAAGCAGTGATTGGCATTATTTGTCATTTGCTTAATCTAACGTTTGGATGTGGCGTACAATGAATCGCCAATGCGGTGAAGTGAGCCTCCACTGTGGGTGCATCAATCGTAGCCGTGTCGAGTTCACACTCTTGGTGGTTTTCCGCGTGAAGCTTAGAAAAGTACACTTTCGGGCACCACTAAGTAAACCTTGATTTGGTCCTGCATTATTGATTATGCTCAGAAATACATACTACTGATAGTTGCTTGTTACATTTATATCCTTTTTTTTATAAGAGCCACGCAGCAGGGATGTTGCACGTACTCCTCTTTTTTGCTCTCCATCTCTTTCAAATAAATATAAACCATCTCGCCCAGCCTAACAATTTATTGTATGTAATGTTTTTTTCTATTTCGCAATTGACGCTCATTTGTTAGAAAATTTCTAAAATGTCACACAAACCTCGATTTTTTTTTGGAAGTCTACAATAATGACGGTAGTGCGTGCATATTCTCTACACTGCAGGACTGCGAAGACTGGAAATACGTGGCCATGGTGTTGGACAGGCTGTTCCTGTGGATCTTTACTCTTGCTAGCCTGGTAGGCACGTGCGGCATAATCCTGCAAGCCCCTTCCCTCTACGACACCCGGCTGCCCATCGACGTCCAGATGTCACACATCGGCCGCGAGTACGCCACCCTCCACGCGCCCTGATCTGACCCCGAGGTCCCCGTATGCGGAAGCAACGAAGTTGTTTACGAGATGTGCGGCTTATGTGGAGTCTGGAAGAAACATTTCGTGTGTTTCTATCTGCTCCATAATGCTACGCTCTTGTACAAAGTCGACCTCACCGAAATGTGTTTCACCTTTTCAAAGCAGTTACCTTTAGACAATTCCGCTGAGTGATGAATCGAATAACTACGTTCCGATAGCAAACATATATTTACGTTCTTACTTCAGCGGATTTTGGTCTCCTGACTCGCAAAACAGCGTTGCTGATCCAAGGTTCCATGTGAACACTTTGTTGTTGTTTCTTTAACAAAAACATCACATCGCGTCATCTAAGGATTGTTTAGCGTGTGAATCACGTTGCGCCCGCCATTTGTACCAACTATATATACCTCAGTTGTAAACCACCTCTACTCACTTAGGGGGAAAGGAGAGAAACAGAAAAAACGCGGGTTTTCGCGCTGTATGCGCAAGTAACCACGCTTGGAGTTCGCGATAACGAACAATACGAAAAATTCAGTTCGGTAACTACGTGCTGGCGGGCATAGAGTTTCCCAATATACACTAGAGGGAACTCTGGCGCTAGTGTCTATGGGAGCTGCAATGCACGGTGCTTCAGCGAGCATGGGAATGATGGGTAGTACACACATTTGTCTAAACTTCGTACTTCTTGCCTGCTTTTGGCTCCGTGTGTGTTCGTGTGGCTTGAAGCTGTTTTCTAACGAAACAAAAATCAGCAAATGTTCTGCGATTGCGCTTCACCACCCTATTTTTTTAGACTTACTTTTCAAATTGGCTCACGAAGTTCAAAAGGGTTCAATCTTTCTTTCAAAACAATACCGAAACACAGCAATAAACGAAGCCGCAAGTACGAAGACTAGGCAAATGTGTGTACTACCCATCATTCTCATGGTCGCTGAAAGATCGCAGCGCCAGAGTGCCCTCTAGTTAGTTTTGAGAAACTCTATGCTGGCGGGGACTGGCATTTCATCGTATGGTTTACGAAGATGCGTCTGTGGCTATGCACGTGCGCATAACCGCAGATTGATTTCGTGGTGAACTCGCTACGTTGCGAGTATATTATTAGCATGCTAGCCGTTAAACAAGGTATCCTGATACATCGCACGAGGAGAGAGGGCAACAATCTTCTGGGCACGTTCATCCAGTTAAAGGGAGAGGGTTGACAATTCTATAAATTTGTGGCTATTGAGCATAGTGCTCAAGCTTCGCATGCTAACCGCCACGTCAGAGCGCACAGCGCAGGAAGCGATTTTACATTAAGAAATTGACAGATCATTTCGGAAGCAAACGTGCCCAGTTTCTTACCTGACAAGGCACTGACGTGTGACAACGCATTAACGCGTGTGCTCTTTTGAAACACGCTTGTCCATGGTATATACCTTGGCTTAACGCAGCGATATAAACAAATTATAATAGAGGTACCTGTCCATTATTGTTGAAATGTCATATTTTATTATTCCCGTGACCTCCCTACTGGATGGTGAACTGGCGCATTCAAAACATCCATAGCACTCCCTGACCACATTCCAGCAGTCGAACGCCTACAATCTTGTTCTTCATTCACTTCATTTTACTTCATTTAGCGATTAGACAAATTCGTTAAAGCCGCATTCTTGGTGTAGCACCAGCATTGAAAACGGCCGTCACTTTATAATCTTCATTCTCTCGCGACGCCGCTTTCTAGAGGGTGATGACTATGATACATAACTGACACGCACGCACGCACGCACACGCGCGCACGCACACGCACACACACACGCACACGGCTTACAAAGTTTCATTAAAGCTCACGGCCCGCGAGAAAGTGAACGGCGCTTTCGTGGCGCGTGACGCGCAGGCACGGCCTGGCCGTGGGCCCAGAGTACATCGCCGTTGTACGAGTCCTGTTGAAAGTGCACGGCTCCGCCTTCAGAGAGTGGATCTCCGATGCGTATCGCCTGCACATGTACTATTTACAATTTGTTGTGCGTTCACGCGCAGTATTCTTTGGCGCTTTTACATTTGTTAGTCAACAACTGGTCATCCTGAACATTGTTTTTCTTGGAATGCTTACGTTATTGTGTTGTTTGCAGGAGGGTTGTCAGCCAAATTAGTAGCACCTATCCACGTGAATAAACGTTTAGACGACGCTATTGCTTGCTTGCTTGCTATTTTACATTTGCTCGAAGATTATTTTTAAAATAAACGTCACACTTTATCCTGACCTGTGTTTCAAAGTTTAGTGACGTAACACACGTATTACGTATTATCAGCCGAAGCGTCCATCTGTATTATAATACAAGGCCGACAAAGTTCACCTTCCAGGCCGATCGGGTATACTATTCTTATAGAATGCCTGCCATTACCATAGAAATTATAGGCCGACTGCAGGCGACTGCAGTATTCTGCTTCCGTTTCTGACCTCACCAGTCGTGTCCACTGACAGAATTGCTCAACAAAATGGTTTCAGTGCTCTTCATTGGACACACAACACTTCCAGCTTCTAACTTATGTGATCTGGGAAGCGGCCCTTTGACAGGCGCAACGCAACAGTCACCGAAGGAAGAGATCCGCTAGCGCCCAGCAGCACAGCGAGAAATTTTTCTTTAAGGTGGGATTACACCACATTTTGTGCCTTCATGTATGCGTACGTTTGTAGATGTGCGTGTATATGTACACTTGCAAACAACTCTACCTGTCTGGGCACTACGCTCAACCGAATCGTCGCGCAAGACGACGGAACGGCCAACTGCGGGTGTGTTTGATCGTTCTGTATGAAGCGGGCTTCTGGCGGCGATGGACGCAGACATGGGGAGGCTGAAGAGAAAGCAAAAAGAGAAAAGGCAGGAAAGCTAACCAGACGAGCATCCGGTTTGCTACCCTGCACTAGAAATAAGGGAATGGGGAGAAAATAGAGAAGGAGAGCACTGAACATACAAACACGTATAGACAGTCAGTCAGTGAGGCCAGAGACCGAAAAATGTTCGCACAGCTGATGAAGAAGCGGCTTACCGGGGTGTGACTCGCTGCCAAGCGAGGCCGCTGGTCTCGACTCCTTTAAAGCACTCCGCGACGCAGTACGGTCGAAACGGCGAGAAGCGGCTGTGCTGGACGGGACTAAAACTTGGCATAGCTTGGCATTACTTCATATGACTTATCATTTGGCATCACTTCGTATAACATGGCCAGCACCAGCTATAGGAACTAATCAGCCCGGCTGTCTCTTTAGCCTTGTGCCAATACAGTGTTATCTAAGGCAGTTTTTTTTTGCATACCAATGGCATGATTCCATAGCATGCGTCATTTTGACCACACTGCATGAACTATAAAGCAAAATAAATGACATGGAAGCACACTACAACCTTCTGTACAAGCTTTTAAAATACATATTTGAGTGTGTGAACACGACAGAGGCTGATTTCTTCTATAACACATATTGATAAAAGAAACGTTGTCAAATGAGTTCGTTCCCATGGACACAAATTCATTTTCATCTAGTTAAACTGAGCACCAAGCCTCATGCTAATAAAAGCTAAAAGAGACATGAAAAAAAAAACAAAAGCAAAGTTGAAGTCGCTATAAAGTGACTTCTTTCGAGAAATGTCAGACAGCACAGGCACTGGAGAGCTCACGTTACTCTTGAGCGACGCATTTCGTAAAGCAGGAGGCTCTTTATTTGGATCCAGCAGTTGCGCTGCTCAGAGAACAGCGCCAACAAAGGCCTTCTGAAACCGTCGGGCAGCGTGGGAAGGCAAGAATACGTAACGCCGCCTTCACGTGACATTGATTAGATCGAATTGCGTCAATTAATCTTTACATAAGACGTGTTGTAATTAGTGCTTACATAACAAAGCAAGTTACTCGTAGGCGTCGTAGCGGGAGCGCGTTCAGCACGTAAAAAGACACGGCGGCACACCAGTCACAGCGCGAGCGAATACAGCTTGTTCTCTCACAAAATAGCGATCGACAAATGCCGCCTCGAGATCTTGAGAGAGAGGCCGAAACGACGTTGACGACTAGAGTGGATACATTTTGTTTTAGATTTCCTTGTGGTTCCCTTTCAAGGGTGCCATGAGTGGAAGTAAGCGTATGCAGTCAGTGTAGAAAGTAACATATATATACAACATAATTTAGCGTCGTTCAATGCCTACAAGATGAGTTGCTCGACCACAGAATTTCCAACAGACGGCTATAGGGTGGCATTCTCAACCGATCGCTTTCGCGAGATTTCGCGAGAGTAACGACGGATGCGTCGGTGTCCCCGAAGATAACGTTTCTGGGCCACTTGCTCTCGGCATTGTTATCACAGAGCCCCGATGCCGTGCTCCCCGTAGACAATAGAGGCTCACAATAGAGCGATAGAGGGAAATTTGATGCCAGTGTCAGTGGCAGCGGCCAGGCACGACGGCCAGCATAAGGTTGAAGTGTAATGCACGAATTTGCTTAAGCTTCGTTCTTTCGACTCCGTGTGACTTGTAGCGGCTTCGATTCATGACTCTGACTTCGATACCATGGCCGTTTTACGCCCATCCATTCGAATCAGCTGGGAAGGCTCACAATGCGTGCCGCTCTTTTATCCGAAGCAATAAACAGATAGCCACAAATGCGTTCGAAGCCGCAAGTACGAAGACAACAACGGCACTACACATCATTGCCACACCTGAACGATCGTCACAGTGCCAGCCACCACCAAATATTACAGGTAATTAGCCGTACACGGCCGAAGGCCTCCAGAGCCGACTCTCGAAATCTAGCGAAAACATCTCTGAAAGTGGTCGCTTGAAAAGACAACCCCAGATGCGTGCACTTGAAATATAGTTTAACAACTACAGATACGATTCGCTGAGAGAGCCGATGGCACAATCAAAACCGTGCTTGCCTCCAGCCACTCTGTACCGCGACATTTAGCACAATTGAGCGGACCTTTCGCCGCAGCAGCGACTTCGACGTGAAACACGCACACACAGACAACACCGATGATATATTTGTTGTTCGCACTGTTGTTTTCGGGCCGACCAGCGCACACAGTTTTGCGGCCGAAATTTGGAGCCGAGCACCGAGGGTCCGGAGAGTGTCCCTTTCACTGTTCCCGGAGACGGTGCGGCGGCAGTGATCACCAGACGGTGCACTTTTTGGTCGGATTCATGGGAGACCCAGGCGGGCAGTTGAACTCCTGGGCGAACTCGGGTGTGTTCGACATGGGACCAATGACCCTGCGGGAATGCAAGGCCACGCGGATAGTTGAACGCTAGATACATTTTGCATATATCTAAATACTTGCATCCTAAATACCTTTGCGTATCAGATTACCCTATTCTACCAAAGGGCTCGGAGCATTCGGCCATTTGCATGCGCACAAACGAGAACCTCTGTGCATTTCGGTCATCGTCTTTTGCGAACAGCGCTACTGGGGCTGAGGGCGAAAAAGCCCTAACGTTGCCGTTATCACCATTCAGGAATACTTCCGCTACTCAGTGAATCCCACTAAGGATAGCGTTTTCCCTGACATCTACTTAAATATAGGAGCCAATAATTACGACATTTGGTTCGTTAAAAGCTTTCGTAACAAAGCTCACATTAATTATGCACACACACACATATCTGCGAGTAATGACAATTCTTAAATGGTACGGAGTTAGCTCAGAAGGCGAATTTGTCTTTTTATACCAGAGGAGTTGACCTCATAACAGGCTCCCCCTGGGAATCACTGTGCGTCACTTGGAGCAAATTATTCTCATGCTTCATCATTTTTTATGCGGCTGATGAATGTTGAGCGCAGTTGCTCTCCTTTTGTCTACGTCTATACTACAGAGATAAAAAAAAACAGTAATCACAGAAACTGACCATATCCCTAACACACATGCTCCCACCCATGCAACGTTATACCTGGTGAGCTATTATCACCTACATGGCGTGCTATAACGACTATGTGGATAATATTACGAGCTCGAGTGCCTATTTTAATTATTGCTTCTATGCAAAGTATCAGTGCTTCATGAAGCACAAGGCGGCGGCACGTGGATCAATTGCAGTGCACATCACGATTTATGTGTGAGGTGCCTGCGCACGCACTTTTAGTTTCTTGTTTCCCGCGCCAGTAATCTTGTGTATGCCATCTCAAGAGCACAGCCATGCACTTTTACTCACAAGTTTCAACCCTCCATCAAAACGCTTTTCAAGTAACAGTGCCTATAGTTAACTTCTTCCACTATCCTATGTGTAAATAATCACTTTAAAGGACTTCCTGTTTCCCACCCATTTATAACATACAATAATCCAGCTATGCACGCGCGTGTTGTTGCTGAATCATGCAAAAACTTGCTTTGTGGGGTATGTAACAAAACTGGACGACGGTGGCTGTGTAAAATATTTAATGCTCAGCACACCACATTCGTTATACTTCTGTCAAACGCTATGTAGTGTGGAGATTCTCACCTGTAAGACGGTGGGCTGTGTGATCCAGACATGATCCTAAGCTTCATTGCCTCTGGTCGGTACTTTCCGCACCACACCTGAAACACAAGAGCATGCATACGGAGTTCCCTGGAAGATTCACAATTGAGAAAGTTGAGACCAAAAGTTGTGAGTCAGCGCTGTGGTTTGTCATTTCTCTTGTGTCCGCGTAGTCGTGCGCTGTGTTGAAATATGTTCCAATACTGTCACCAGTGGTCCAGCTTTCAGTGCTTCTATAGTATTCTGTTCAATCTGAGTGTGGTGAATCGCAACCAAGAAATTTCTACGCCTTTACAAGAGTCAAGTGGCTCACTCTGTCTAAAAACGCAGTGTTGGTACGGAAAACTTCGTGTAAATAATGAAGCAGGACATAAACAAGTTTTTTCTACGTAGATCTTTTTTTTCGACATTAATTCATTTCAAGCATGAACCTATGGTAGCCCATTATTCTTTTTTGCCGAATCATTATGTCTAGTTCAAAAACTATAGGGCCAAGCTGTTAAGAATTTATAGTTGTGAATAATTCTCAATTATTTGGATCAATGGTTGTTTCTTATTCGAGCAAATTTGTGAGCTCGGGCATTTCTTAAAACGAAATCAGTGTTTGAACATTGTGACTTCCTTTGGCACATCGATCACTAACTTCGCTCCCTGGTTCAATGTCAGACCTGCGACCCAATACCGCGCCATATTTAGTCGTTTCGGGAAGCACTCGTGTGTGATCCACGAAGGGGCTTTTCATTGGTTTCCCACAGGTGCTACGACGCGTGACGTAAAAATAAGAAACTCACACTCAGAACAGAAAATAATTAAGTCATTCAACAAAACAAATGAACGACTAAAATTATCATGTTCAGGACTACAGTTACACCATGGTCTATGTAAACTAAAGAGAAAAAGGAAAGGCTGACATTCAGGTTGGTAGGAGTTATTATACACAGTAAAACCTCGGATATATGCGATGACGGCTCGTCAGAACTTCGGGGTGATGCGAATTTCCCTGTGGTCCCAGCGAAGGCCCATTAGACTGCAGTATAATGGAGTACGGTTGTTGAGAACAGACTTCCATTCCACGATGTCTGATACGATCGTACATTGTCGCGCAGGTATGAACAGCTGCTGCCCGCGTTAGACGCAGATTACGCGGCAATCACGGGCAGACATACGCCGTAGCCTCCGAGGTAATGCGCGCAATATTCGAGGCCTTACTGCGCCTTCATGCGTGTGCCTTTGTCATTAGATTACAGATGGCGAAGACGTCGCGATTGTTTAAGTGCGAAGTATTTCTTAGCGAAATTCGGCGATTTTGAGCGTATCTATCTATCTAGCCGCTCACGTTTGGGTGCTCTCGTGGTCACACCCTTAACTTGGCGCGAACCAAAATTAGCATGGGAAAGTAAAATAGTTTGACGAGTATGACGCGCTGGTCAAGACATGAACAATGTCACAATGCCGTTGCGTACGTCGTCAAACACTCCCCACCATACAGTGGCATATACCCACGGGCGGTTATGTGCCGCTGGTATACGGGTATGTGCCATAGGCGATTGACACTTAGTTATCTTATCTACCCAGGAACAACGAGAAAACACATGCGCAATTTTAATGCGTGAGCGTTAAGAAATACCTAACATCGGTAGCGTCAGCTCGACGAATGTAAAGAATAAATGTCACGGTCCCAGCTGGAATTGAACCCAAGCATTCTGCGTGGCAATGAAACATTTTGCCACAAAGCTACGCCAGGTCTCGGAACTACTTTCAAATGAACGCTAATCTTCGTGAAACGTCATCAATAGTAGATGCAGTATGTGCTGCCTACCCATTTTTAAAAATATTACATATGTACTCCTTTGTGAAAGTCGTCACTTCGGGTTAACGTCAATTGGGGTTAGTTGCTTTGCGCTGAAGTTGATTTATGTAGCAGTGTCCAGGGCCAGCGTCTCCGCGAGCATCAGCGCTTCATATCAGCTTCTGCTGTTGCTAATACGCATGCTCCACTTGGCTTCGTTGCGCAAGTACAAACAACTGGTTATCTAAAAATCTGCAACTCTTCCACACATGCATGTGCGTGAAACATTTGTACGTAATTTACGTCATTTTATGACGTAATTTAGCGTCATTTTATGACGTGTTGATCAATAAAAAAAACTCAACACCGTCACCTTCCCTCCACATGCTTCGTATGCTTCGCATAACGTCGATTCCCTGGTACGTGGGGTCTGCCCATTTTTTTAAAGACGATAGTCTTTCCTGGGGACCTTCGACGCAAAAATTTTGGTCTGTCTGTCTGTGCATTTGTCTGTTGTCCACGTTTAACGGTAGCCTAAACGGCACCAAAGTGACCAAACGATAATCCAAACTGCCGACCCCATTCACAGCGCTCACCAATATTGCTCAACGTTCAGCGTTCATACTTGTGCGATTGTCAATTAAAAAGCAATGATTGCGCATATCTAAGGCACCATAACAACACTTCAATAATATGTATGGGTATTTTTAATTGATTGATTGATTGATTTGCTGGGTTTAACGTCCCAAAACCACCATTTGATTATGAGAGACGTCGTAGTGGAGGGCTCCGGAAATTTTGACCACCTGGGGTTCTTTAGCGTGCACCCATATCTGAGTACACGGGCCTACAACATTTCCGCCTCCATCGAAAATGCAGCCGCCACAGCTGGGATTTGATCCCGCGACCTGCGGGTCAGCAGCCTAGTACCTTAGCCACTACACCACCGTGGCGGGGCGATGAGTATTTTTAGTAGAAAAGGCATACATAAGTAACTTTAAGGGTCGTAGCCTTTATAACACTGTGCTGGCCCTGCAACGCTTGCACGAAACGGCAAGTGTTTCCAACGCTTTGCTAAGACGACATGGTGGTGGCACCCACACCTTGCCCTGCGTTCTACACTTTATCACATCAGAGATGGGCGCGCACGGCGCGCGCCCCGTTTTCCAGGATAACTGCCAGATAGCGCTCATGTCTCACGTGTGACGTGCTTGATGCGCTGGTTCGCCTCCGCTGAACGCTTAAGGCACTCTAACGCAGCGCCTCCAGAATGCCATCCACCGATTTCCTTGCGCAGAACATAAAAAAAACGTTTTGTTCACTCTCTCCAGACGCAAGGCTATCGTCTTTCGACGACATTTGCGGTGTAACATGCAGATACGGGGTATTTTTTTTTCTTCCATGCTTCGACGCGTGCTGCTGAGTTTGGGATAGCGTCGTTGAAATATGTACGCTAGTGTCACGCTGACGCAAGTTATTGCAGTCCGGCAAACTATGCAATGTGAACGAGGACTAAAAAAAGACGGTCTCGGCGAAAGAGTTAGGCCTCGCAAGGCCAACACGCACGATGACCTACCGGACGCGCACTACCTGCCAACTCTATGATTTACACGGGAGCCTCCCGAATTTCTACCAAACATCCAGATTGTTTGGTCACTAACGTAAATCTCTCAAAAATCCCCAACACCACCACTATAAGCAAATACTAAAAAAAAACGCAGCGTTTCTAAAATTTTCAGGCCTTCCATCTGTCGCGTACAAAACGCTCCTTAAGTTACTTTCTCCGCATCACTTTTATTATGCGGGAAAACGTAATATTGTTAAGGGGCTACTAGCTGACACAAGTCGCAGTACATGTGGTTCATTATTTTCACACGCGCACAGTATATTTACGAGTACGATTATCATTGCTAACATCTAATAATTTTCCTGAAAATCATTCAGAGCTGTTCATGACGTTGCTGCAACTCTGAGAAACAATAAATGAAAATCTATGCCAGCTTTCTCTTGATGCATACTAACTTTCCGTGTTTCCGGTGACCCCACAATATTCGCATCACCGAGATATTACTGTACTCACGCAAGGTTCCAAATACGGCGCGCTATCGTAACCGTATAGGCGCTGCACCGAGCGTACTCACATTTGCAGCACTGATCCAGAATAGTTGCTGGGGTGTGTATCTTAGGCCCGGAAGACCCGCCTCCGGACCATTTTCTTTCACCCAGCGTTGATAGGCCTGCGTACAAAGAAAAGGCGCGTCACTGTGTCGTAGTGCCTTTCTCGAAATACTTTTTCTTGGTGCGACAATAAAACACAAGAGACGAGACTGGTCTTCTCTCTTGTGTTGGCTTTCTGCTCTAAAATTGCATCTTAGTAGAATTCAGCGAAGAAAAGGGGGATGAAGAAATAACTTCAGAAACACAGCACTGTGTTTGTGAAGTTCTTCTTTCCTGTTTTTTTTTTCTTTTGCGCCATATACTGCTATAATGCTGAGCCAATTGATTCGCCAAACAGGCCGCTCTTTTAAATATGTGTCATGAATACGCACCATCAAGCCCGCTATTGCATTGTGTTGATGCGATATGACGTAAGCGCACTTGTGTGCACGTAATAGCCAAATTTAACACAAGAACACTGCATTGATGAAAATATTAACTATATTATCATATTAAACATATTAGCCGTGCTATCTGTTCTTCTTCAACTTATTCGCTCGTGTTGATAACGAAATCTTGTCTATAATAGTCAGTGTCCCGATAAGAAACTACGGGATCCGTTAAATCTACAAACTTGGTGTGCCTATACGGTTCAGTGATACAAACAATTGCCGCAATAGAATAAACGAAGTCCTCGTGTGTGCATTAAAGAAAAACTAGTTGAACAATGTAGAGTTTTAAAAACAAGCATCACGGGAGAACCCAGCTGAGATGCGCTTGTCCCGATGCGAATTATCTACACGACCCACAGCTCTCCGAAAGGCTTGATCTATCAATATTTACGTAAACAGTCCAGCTTGTGAGACACCACAAGTTACGTTAGTTATTTTCGGTTAGATGGAGGGGTTACCAAATTTCACAAGCACGTGATGGACGTTAACTGAAAATCAATCTTAAGAAGCCAATCATTGCTGGTGCTTTAGGTGCAGAAGAGTGCAGACAATTCTATTATAATAAAACAAAATCTTTTCTCATGTTTGAAATGCTCATGGGATCATTTTTCTTGTATGAGCGCGAAGAACAGGAGAGCCGATTTCATACCGCAAAAAACGAAGGTAAATTTCAACTCTGAAAGAACAGCTATTGAAATCATTTTTCTGATCGAAAAACACATGAGCAGCTTTTTTTTCCCCTAACATACTAGTCTGCAGCGCCAAACTCAATCAAAATCACGCCTTTTCGCAAACTGGAATGATGCCCGCTCCGGCACGGGAAATCCAGGGAAGTGCGCCAGCTGCGGGATTTCGCTCGCGAAATGAACTCGCTACTCTCGCTCCTGGCATCCTGCCTCCTTCGGCTCAGGTGAAAAGAAAACATTGAATGGCGCATATTGCAGAGAGGCGAAAGAGAAGGCTATTGCTTCTTTCTTGGCGAATTCCGAGACGGCCAGATTGGCAGTATATGCGCTGATCACCTGCAGTGTGCCGCGATACGCGTCCAATGCAAAGAACTAAATGCTAGAAAACGTAAGATGAGTGAACAAACAGGCTGGTGTGATGAAAGATACGGATCTATACCGGCTTTTTTACAGTTCGCTATACAGGGAAAATGCGCCCCGCCGCGGTGGTCTAGTGGCTAAGGTACTCGGCTGCTGACCCGCAGGGCGCGGGTTCGAATTCCGGCTGCGGCTGCTGCATTTCCGATGGAGGCGGAAATGTTGTAGGCCCGTGTGCTCAGATTTGGGTGCACGTTAAAGAACTCAAGGTGGTCGAAATTTCCCTCCACTACGGCGTCTCTCATAATCATAAGGTGGTTTTGGGACGTTAAACCCCGCATATCAATCATTACAGGGAAAATGCAGCGAAGCATTCATGCTTGTAACAAAAAAATTGGGGGACTCTTAAGCTACGCCTTCAAGAGTTCAACGCGATATCCTGTCTCCAGTGCGTACCGAGTTCCAAACAGCTTGTGTCAATGAATCTTTTGCATATGACTGCATACTGTGTAATGGGGAGCATGCTTTAAACGACGGGAAATATTGCGCGCGAAATACTTTCGAATTTGCTATGCACCCCACTGCGTGTCCTTAAGGGAAAAAGCGCAGTAACGTGAGCGCCTTTTGTAGTGTGTGGCCCGCTTTAAACCCTGAAGTCATGATAATCCTATGTTCTGACGCCAAATCGCAATGTACGCTTGTACCACAAGCATTATTACTGTGATTTTACGAGTTACACTGTGAAGCATGCATACAGGAAGCGTGCGTTAGTAAAGCATGCAAGTTACTTTGACTGCATTTACAAGCAGACGCATGGCTCTGTGGTAAAACACCCACTTGCCACCCGAACGACCCAAATTCGATTCCCATCGAGACCCAGAATTATTTATCTTATTTGCATCTTTGTCAATTTTTCAGTCACAAAAAGATGATCTTTTGCTCGCAACCAATGACGTTGAAACCAGAAATTCTGCGAAACGCGCTCTTTAACGCTATTGCGTTATCACCTGGGGTTTTACGTCCCAAAACCACGATACCTTAATTAGAGATAAAGTACAGGGGGGGGGGGGGGCTCCAAAGTTTAGGCTGTGTGGTGTTCTTTAATGTGCACTGACATCGCACTGTACACAGGCCTCTGACGTTACGGCAGCATCTTAATGTCGCCACCATAGCCATAATCAAACCCGCGACCTTGAGGTCAGCAGCCGAAGGCCAGTCAGCTTGCATGTGGCGGACCGTACTGCAAGCTTGCTTCGTAACATATCAGCATTTTTTTATTTTTTTGCTGAGAATAAAATGCGAGCAAAATAATTATCATTTTAACTCCTGTGAAAAAGAAAGAAAATTGGCTTTATGAATTCATTGTTTCATCTCTGACTGAGGCAAAATTTCGCGCTACACTCAAGCGACAGAGACGCGATCTTCTAAGAATTGAACGGGGCAAGCCGTTGACAATAGTCTGCAGGCGAAGTAACTGCTTGCGCTCAAAGAGCCGCGCTGCAATTAATATAAACATACGTAGGGACTTGTTACTACACTGGAGCGCTGATCCTTAAGTGTCTTGTTGTAGCTAGCCACAACGCAAGCTTCATTCGAGAAAGTGCCACTAAAGGTGTGACGTTAATTATAACGCTGTTCGTAATTAACTCATGGATCAATAAATGAGTGCATGGTGTGTTCTCTGCGCTGCTCGGGCTCATATTTCGCCATGATGTTTTTTTTTTTTTTTTTACTAAGCCTGTTCGAAAAAGACTGTACTGGTCATGTCTTAATTTTTAATTTTTATCCGCAAATCCTGCAGACACTGAACAGTTTATTATATAGCGTGATGAGTGATACACATTAGTTTAAGTGCCCACCTTAAATGCCTCCTTGATGCCTCCATTGTCCGCAATGTTCTCGCCTTGCGTGTTGACGCCGTTCACCTGAAAGAAACAGTGCAGTCAGCAATTCAGCTGGTTTCCCATAACGGCGTCGTTTAGGTGTAATACTATAGCGCAAAAAGGCCAAGAAGACAGGACGTAGTGCAATCAGCATTTGTGGAATGAGCATTGTAAAAAATGGCTTGAGCTGCTATAGCATAAGATAGGAATTAGCATAAGAATGAGCACCTTCATGGTACCCTTGGCGACGGTGTAGTTTCCGTACTGATCAATGATGCACTGCGCCCTTTCGCGAAACCGCTGATCCGTCTCGTGCTCCCACCAGTTCACGTTGTTGCCGTCTTTGTCGAACTGGCGCCCTGCATCGAAAAAGGCGTGGCATTATGGCTACTCTGCAAACAAAAGAAGTGGGAATTTCGTACGCGAAAGTAAGAGATGCGCAAGCTCGGCGCATTCGCTTGCAGACGGGTACAAAAATAAATTTACACCCTCTCCCTAAAACGGGAAGCTCATGTTCTGGCGTTTAATGTCTCATCACACTGAGCGGCGTTCCATATCGGCGTTCCCCGTCGACGAGTGATGCAGAAGATCATGCTCACGTGACTATGACGTCATCATTAGGTCAAAATCCCCAAGTTTTGTTGACTCACTGGGACGTCGCGGTGGCCTCAAATAACGCGCGACGTCCCATGGTGACGTCATCATATGACATTATTGCTTGGTTAAATGTGGGCCGATGCCAGAGGCAGTGCCACACAATATGAGCTGCAGAAAGCTTGCGATTCCTCCGATCCTGAAGTCATTGCATAAACAAAGTCACATATTGATGTTGTACCCCATACTATAGTACTTGGGACAGCTTACTATTCTCCCATAGTAGAGTACCAAGTACTCTAAATCATCGAACATTTGTTCTAAAACACAGTTGTAGAAAGGTTTCGGAGGAGGGCGCGGGAGGTTCAATACATCGGCTTAAAAGAATAATAAATATAAACAAAGAATAATACTAAGGAGGAGAGGCTCAGCTGGAGTCGACCGAAACGAATGCCTAGCCAACCCCGCGAGTTTTTATTTTTTTATTTTTCGTGTTGTGCGTGTTTGCTGTGCGCATGGAAATGCATACGATACGGATAGAAATCAAACCCGTGACCTTGTGATTGACAGCACAACACAATGTCATAGAAACACGCGTGCAATACAGACAGAAAACACTACGAGAAAAGCCTTTAGTTCGAGCATAGCACGAATGACAGCAAAGACGGGTCAACGGCAACGTCAGCGAAGTACATAATATGAACAAAATGGCACTAAAACTTCGACAGCTTAATGAATGCTGTTGTCTTCATATTGACTCAAACAGAATCGCTTCGGTGCGTCACAGTTGACATTCGTTCCGTCGTTAGGATTCCAGCTATTTTCGAAGCAGATAAATGTTGCTTTAATGGTTCTGAAAATTGTGCGATTGTCCTCTGTATGACAGTATTGGTTTCTCGAGGACTTTTTAAAGCCAGCACGAGATGTCAGACCGGCGATAGCTTTAGAGCGTGAACATGCGTATACAGAGCACGATATCAACATGGGTACGCGGTTTAGCAACATGCAAGAGGTTTTATATGCAACACAAGTGGAAAATTTTACATGCCAAATTCTTTAAAATGTCATTGTACGTGCGTTTCTACGTTTGCTTCACAGATCCACCATAGTCGGTGCAGTTCAAAACATGGCACACGAAGTTATATGGAAGCGAAGCGAAGAATAATGAGAACTCATAGCGTTTTTGATGGCACGCTATGATGCTCCGTGTCACCTGATGGCAGAAGACAAAGGCAGAGTAAAACGTACCTGAAAATTTGTTTTGTACATCGTATAACCAAATCCTCGAACTGGTTCATTAAATACGAAGTTGCAAACTTTTATGAGCCGATATTCGAACTAGGTCTCTAGCAGCGCTCAAATGAAAGTGTTCTTCGCAACTTTAAGTGATCAGAAAATAGGAAAACTCGTGACTAAGAATATAAGAATATTGTGGTTTTATTTCTTATGTAACATTACGGGAAGGTGGTAAGGGCAAAAGGCACCGAGGCTCGACAGAGGATCCTGCTCCGTTCAGAGATTTGGTGCAACGAACAGGTTATTTGTGCGATAAAGACATGCGGTACCTTACCATCTTATGTTATAACACAATAAAACAACATATGGCATAAAGCAATAACATATATACAAAAGTTGACAACGTAGTTAATTGAGCGATGGTTTTTCTCATCCCCATATCCCGATACTAAACTACGGAAATATGTTCGTATATGGAACAGCTTCCGCGACTGCGCGCCATTTGCGACCATTACTTCAAGGTAGCCGTTGCTCTTGACACCACTTACGATCTCGCACCACTTACGTAACTGCCAGAATAACTGTCGGGAACCTTCTACTGGCCTCTTTACATCAGTGATAATAATAAAAAAAAATGAGTAGTGCTTCTGCTGCACATTCTCGTGCTTTCTTTTTCGTCTTCACGTCTGCATACACACAGTACACGGGGATGACTGCAATTGCGCATGATCACTAAGAATGGTTCTGAAGCTATGTTCGTTCAGTTGGAAATGGCTTGGAAGAGTTATTTTTCCGGTTATCAGTTGTGCTTGGCAGAGAGCATTGATTGCCTAAGTGCCAATACATGTGCTTATATGTGTGATCGCGTATGAACATTGTATCGTTATGAACAATGTCGTTTCAACGACTCCGTTTACAGATGCTCTGCAACAATAGCAGATGACACGAACAAACCATATCCATCATCTGAAAAGCGGAAAACATTTCACTAAAATACACAAAAAAATTATAAATTTTTCTATATAGGTAAAAATGAAAATAACTGTCTACTCACCTCTGTCATCAAAACCGTGCGTTATTTCGTGTCCTATGACGAACCCAATCGCACCGTAGTTCATGTAGCTGTAAAAAAGAAAGGCAGCGAAGGCCACGTTGTATAGACAATGCAAGCATGTATATTGTAGCGAGGCTGTACGAAACTACAGTCTCATGAACTTTAGCCGTCGTGAGATTTGCCAGCGATTCTTTACGTCTGCAAACAAAGCAACACGTCAACTTTGTATGCCACCCCGCCACGGTGGTCTAGTGGTTAAGGTACTCGGCTGCTGACCCACAGGTCGCGGGATCGAATCCCGGCTGCGGCGGCTGCATTTCCGATGGAGGCGGAAGTGTTGTAGGCCCGTGTTCTCAGATTTGGGTGCACGTTAAACAACCCCAGGTGGTCGAAACTTCCGGAGCCCTCCGCTACGGCGTCTCTCATAATCACATCGTGGTTTTTGGACTTTAAACCCCAGATATCATTCTAAATAATGTACCCCCCCGCCCCCCCCCCCCCAAAAAAAAAAGTCTCGCTACGCGTCTGCTGCTCAACCATTGTTAATAGGAACCAACTATAGAGCTAGTGTGTGTTGCATTATAACCAAACTGATTTAGCATCAGAAAAACGGATACAAAAAGCACGAGCCAGGAAGTACATGGCTCCATCCACGTCTTTTTCCTTGCATCTGTAATGACTGAAAAAAAAAAAGGCTAAGCTTGCATGATGACGCGCAACAAACAGCGAAACTGGACAATTCCGAAGCCTACTACAGTGTGGTTGCTTAGGTTGTTGCCTAGCCGGTCGCTAGGGGACCGATAGTTCTACAGTTGAATTTCAGTGCGTAGAGGCTCGAGTTAAACGACAGTCACAAACATGACACGAGCCGTAAGTCGCATGCGTGGACCTTCCACCACTTCGGGGTCTTGCAGCCGCCGTTGCCTTTGCCGTTCTTTAGTACTCCCTCATTGTACGTACTCGATGCCTTCGGATCACCGCCTTCACTTCGCAGCCATTTGGTGGGTGAACTTTAGTTGCCTTTACTTTGAATGAACCAGTGGTGAATAGTCGGATTTACTAAATATCTGTAGCGAATACCGGGTAATGATAATGATAGATTTTATATGCGAGTCGTCCTTGTGACTGATGTGTGTAACGCCATACGTACATCCGTACGAACGCGCCGCAACCCGTTCCCCTCGCCGCAGATGTTGGAGCGATGCCAAGTACGTCAAGTCACAGCTGCGCGCTGACGTAACGCTTCCCTCGCAGGTGCGTGCTGACTGTCACTCTCCCTCTCGCCTGCAGCACGCTTGCCACAGCTCCCGCAGATGCCGGCTCCTCCGACCCGCTCGCAATACACTTCTCTCTCACTTCACCGCCCTCAGCACTCGACCGCACGTCGAGTGGAAACACTCTTTCGGCTCGTTTATCTACGACAAAACTTAAACGAAATTTAACTCACCTCACGTGTCTGCGTTTCAAAACGTTTATTCGAAAAAAACGCTACACCAAGTTTTGCTTCACAACGTTCTTCCAGTATTCCGCGTCGACGACCGTTTCAAGCGGTGCAACGCCGTGCGCAGCACCGCTGCTGCTTCACATCCTATCAGGGTTCCCTTCGTGGAGATGGTCCATAATTTTTTTGGTACAGGGGTAAACAAGGAACAATTTACTGAAAGCTTCACTGTTAAAAATGAGAAGTGCGGATGCAGCGACATTTATCTGCAAGAAACTGCCGACCACAGAAACATAGCAGCCAGTTGTGACTTATTACTAAAACTAAGGCGTTGCAGCAGTATGCGAAATATGTCCATCACTTCAACGACGACACCCTTGTGAACAGGGGCGGAATCCACGACGCATTTCAATCTAAAATGCCTTCATTCAATAGCTGACAGTATTCACTGCTGTTTTACTACTCTTACGAATAAGTGTATTTTTAAGGGTATTTCATGCATAGGAGGCTACATTCGTATTCACAAGTAAATAACATAAATGCGTGTTTAAATTCAACTCTCTATTCATCATTGATACAGAATAAGATCCCACCATCACAAAATTGTCAAAACTGCATGTCCGTCACTATACAGCACGTTGCATCCAAAATTTTGGACATGTTCACTGATTCGTAGTGAAATTTTTTACAGCTGGCATCAAAATGTCGCTGTACGCGTAACGATGTTCGTATGTTTTGCCGCGACTCGAGCTTCCCGCCGTTTGTTCGCCTCTGAAGCGTCAAACGCGTTGACTCGTTTCGCTGCTTAGAAACGAATGCAGCGAGAATTAGAACAAAACGGGAGAGGAGGGGGAAGAACGTGGTGCCAACAATTCGACATGTGTACTTGTCACACTGACGTATGCCTTTCGAAAATGTCGTCCCGGGACTAAGGACCCCGTCTTTGTTCTATTCTGGTTGCGGCGAGTGCCTTTGAGCCGTGCTTAGAGTCTTCCCGCACACCCCGAGAAAAACACAATATTTACTCGTATGCGAGGCCCGTATAGTCCAGATTGGTAGAAAAAAAAAACAATAAGCAGCTGCGTAAAACATGCAGCAGCGTCGTCAAAAAACAACCACCACATTTCTCCTTCCTGGTGACGACCATTCGAGCACTAAGTGCGATAGAGGCTCACGCGCATGGATAAGTGCGCAGTATTCTACACTTCGCTTTAAACATCAATTTGTACGTGAACTTCAAAAATCTACTAACATGTGTGAGCATTTGAGAAACAAATGCTAATACCAGCAATATACGCGTAGCTTTCTCCAGAAGTAACCATCACAAAATATCGCGTGTCGTTAATGGTACACAATTCAGAAACTTAAGCTGCGGCACTTCATTACAGCTGTTCGTTCGAAAATTCCGTCTTTCCATTCACAAAAGCTCTAAGGCTGGAATCGTGCACAAAAAGAGATTGCATTTAATCATGATGAACATGCAACTAACGAAAGCAGTTGACCTATGCCAAATTCAAGTGCAAAATACACATTTCCTGGAACCAGTGTCAGATACGAGTACAAACGCTTATATTTTGCGAAAGGTCTGACACGCGAAAATGCGTCATCATAATGGAAATACAGATTAATTGTCAACTTTGCACTTCAGCCCCTAATATCTCGCTTTTCATTCGCATATAATTTTGTAGTGTAACGAGCTGACCAGGACGAAGCTCAACAAGGTGGCAGAAATACCTCGATGCTGAGCACAGGCAGCATGATCAAGAATTAAACATATTGTTCTGAGTACAGCGTTCGTGTGACAACTTTGACCAGCTTTCGCACCTGTTTCATGTTAAATAATACTTATTTTGTGGTTTCACTTTCAAACACCACAGTATGATTATGAAAGACCCCCTATGTGGTCGGCTCCCAAAATTTCGGCCACCTGGGTTCCTTAACGAACACAGATTCAAGTACCTGGGCCTCTAGTATTTCACCTCCATCAAAATGCGGTCGTCGCAGCCAGGTTTCATAATAATTGTTGGGGTTTAAATGCCGAAGACCACCACATCACTATGAGAGACGCCGTAGTGGAGCGCTCCAGAAATTTCGACCACGTGGGGTTCTTTAACATGCACCAAAATCTAAGCAGACGGACCTTAAGCATTCCCGCCTCCATAGAAAATGCGGCAGCCACGGCCGGGATTCCATCTGACGACCTGCGGGTCAGCAGCCGATGACCTTAGCCACTAGACTAAAGGGACGGCTGTCGCGACCAGGTTTCGACCCCGCGACCTTCGGGTCAGAAGTCAAGCAGCATAATCAATTCGTGGGTCAGTGACATGTGGGCGGAAGGTCACGATGCACGTGTCTATGAGCTGTACTGGTTGAGACTTACTTTGGTCGATCCTTGGAGAAGAAGGCGCCCTGCAGGATGCCGGCTGGAAATTCTGCGCATGCGGGAAGAAGGCAGAGGAAACAAAAGCTCGAGATCCAGACGCATACCTATTTCGCCACACTAACGCTTATAATGTTTGGGAGAATTGGGAGTAAGCAGAGTGTGAAACTAACGACCACACGATTGCTGCCATCGTGTTTGAAAAAAACATGCACTGCATCACACTGCCGTTAACGCTCGCACTTTTTTTTTTCTTCAGATACGCCACTGCCGAAAGCGATCTTGCGTTATGCAGTGATAGATTTATAACCGGCTAAGGAATACCTCTTTCACATGAGAGCTTACATTCAATGTTACATTTCGACTTCACTAAGGCAAGAAACTTCATTAGTTCCGTGGATTTTGTAGAGAAAAAAGATTTCTGCGTTTCCGCGCACTCATATGGAAGGTCTCGAGCAGAATCTGTACCCCCTAAGACAGGTTCCCACATTTAAAAAAAGCAGAACCCCCCCCCCCCCCCCCCCCCCACACACACACAACAACAAGTGTCAATCCATGTGTAGAGCAAAACTGGCAGCGCTATTTGTCCCCGCACTCTCTGCGTCATGCCTGCTTTTTTTCCCCACAGTATTCACTTACACATTATTTCACTAACACAACTCCCTTGCATCGAGTTAGCCTTCAGCAGTGATTGAGGGATCTCTGCCGGCAGTGCCGGCCGCTGAGCCCATTTACACTACATAGCGATAGCCCCCGGAAGCAGGCCCCATAAATATAGGAAAAGGCAAGCTTGCAGGCGCGTGCGTACGTTCAGAAAATCCTCTCCGCATACGATAGCGCAGCAGCGGAGAATAGTGCTATAGGCTTGCGCGTACGCTGTGCGTGCTCAGACTCACCGATGCAATTCTCCAGGCTGTTGTAGTATGCGTTGACCACGGCCACCTGAGCATGCTTCTTCCATCTGCAAAGAAGGCGTCGGCGATGAGCGAAGCGCCCGCGTGCCAGTGAGGTTAGCATGAGAGCATAAGTTGTCAGAACATTTAAGCGCGTGTTACAAAGCCCGAAGCAGCTACACGAAGTCCAAGTTGCATTTGCTCTGCGCTCACCCCACGTGCTATCTAACGATCACCAAACGAACAGCTCGGAATTCCACAAGCAATTCCACCTATTCCTCGCTATTTACTCCGTCAACAAGTGGGCATATGTTAACCAAACAAAGTGCATAGTGCTCCCATTATGAAAAATCAGAAGTGCACAGTTGTAAAAACACGCTAGCGTTTTAGGCAGCTATATAGATCGCAAGCTATAGCCGCGCACTGTTTTCACGAGGTTAGCCAACGGTCCTCTACAATGCCAGTCAACTTAGCGTTTGATTATCGAGGCTGTGTGCACGTGAAAATTGCGCAACACTCACAAAACAGGGGGAAGGCATAAAAACAGCAACGATTGCGGAATATGAGGTATCGCCGCACTTCTCGAGTGAATTGCGATATTTTCACTCTAAGCCAAAACGGAGCAACAGGGGTATAGGGGTTGCTCCTTTCAGGGAGCAATTGCATTGCCACTCCCATTACTCTCCTAAAAGGAGTAACTGCAGAGGGAGGAACCGTTGCTCTCCTTTCAGTTCCTCCTTCGGGGGATGAACAGTTACTCCCTCCAGTTCCTCCCTGCAGACCAACAGTTACTCCCACCAGTTGCTCCCTGCCGACCAACCATTACTCCCACCAGTTGCTCTTCTAAGAGCAACAGTTACTCTTTACCGTTCCTCCCACGTGTTCGCAGTTACTCTCTGAAAACCAACTGCACATGCTTCCAGTTACTCCTTGGGGAAATGAGTATTTATCTCGAGTATGCTTGTCACACGCCTAACACATGGCGAGAGCTCCTTGGAAGAGCACTGCTTGGGTGCTTCTAACACAAAAAGTGGACAATATTGAAAGGAAAATAAATGCTTTATTGTTCTTTTTATGAGGCGACGTGTGACCACACGTAAAAGTAGACTTCGCCACACCACAGCCAGCACTAAACAAACACAATACATCAAAGGTTTTCTGCGTCATCCGTGGAAAAACAATCTTGAATTTCTAGCATAGGGCAGTCTGTGTCATCATTGGTGAGAGAAGGGCAACTTCTCCAATTCTGAAGAACTCAAGTTTCGCAGCTGGTGTTTCCATCAGGCTAGCGCAGCGGAACGTCACCGCAGGCATATGTGAAGCATCTCATTGCTGCAAGAAAAAAAATAGAAGTGTGAGGTTAAACATGCCAGAATCAATTCATAACAATGAGTCACACACACTGCAGCAGCGCTTACATTCTAGGATGTCTACTGCAAAACGAAATGTGAAAAAAAGGAAGGTTCGGCCAAACGTTACTTGGCAAGCCATATAAATGCTGATGTGATAGACGCTCTTCACATGATGTCTCAGACAGCAATATTCTGGAAGAAAATGTGCAGCACCTCAACAAGGCATATTTGTAGCAGTTAAAGATACCCTTAGGTTCAGGTAACTTGTTTCCTATACACAGCTGAGTGACATTTCTATGAGCCCATTCACCAATGGGCATTCTAAGTGTGGTCATGTGTGTGGCAAATAACACGTACTGTCCACTCATGTTAAAATACTTATTTAGCTCGTGCACATAGATGCTCTCGATTCTACTGTTCTATCATACGCTGCTGCGTCTTGAATTGTGCAATACCTGTAGGCACAAGCCAAGCAGGCAAAGCCTGCTTGAAAGCAACCATTTGCAGAGGCTACATGATAATCTTCAGTATATTTCTTGCTACCCGATAGACCGTGCTACCTTGAAAAAATGCTTTAAATTTAGTAAACTAGGGTGCATTTGTTCACTCGGTTGTCGAGGAAGCAATATATCTTAAGGCATGCACAGATATTCTGATTCTTTGTTTGACAGTGTCACAGATAGCTTGCCAATACATATATATTTCAGAGCAACAAGATGTGAAGCTTTTATTAGTTCAACGTCTTGTTGGTTCACAGCCAAACAGGTTACTGCTTGTTAGACAAATTGGAATAAGCACACCATGGTTTCCAAAAGAAAAATCATTATTAGAAGTTAGCTCCCGGTGTGAATGTCTGCCTCTTTATTTTGTACTGCTTTCTACATGTGCCACAAATACATTTGTTGAGGACGTGCTACCAGTCAAGCCAAGATCGCATACTTGGTCAATGTGATGGAAATACAAACATTAGAAACACTGCCACCTCTAGTAAGAGCATAACACTTCAGTATCTTGGACTAGCAAAGAGGTGCACAAGAAAGTTAAGCCCACTCTTGCGGAACTTTGAACGCGAATATTTCAGAGTGGGGGAGGTCAACATGCTGTGGCACTTTTAAACCCACGAAACATCTGCAGAAAACAGGGTAAAGGCAAGTCAAGAAACGCTGTTATGAAGGCCTGCGCATGGACAGCTTTGTGAATCTAGGCCCAAGTGTTATGCTTTGTGCAAGCCAAAATCCATGTAAATAGGGAAAGCATACTTTTAGGAGTACCAGCGTAAACAAATCTTGGCAGTTGGCTTTTTAGGACAAACAGCAATCCCTGCAATGAAAACATAAACATTTTATCTTAACGGTAACAGTGTGAGCACACACACGGGCCAGCGGAGCCATGTCGAATTGTCAGTGCCAGTGTAACCATGTGGCATGATGAACTATTCTCTGGCCAACACATGCACAGTTTGCCCCTAAAAAGCGATGCTTTCATATACGTAGCACAAAAAGTCTGCACTTACCAAAATTCACTTGCTTTCTGTACTTTAGCATCGTTGGGAGCATCTGCAGTATAACCAAATTTGTGTCATATCCCTGAAAAAAAAAGTAAAAGACATGCATCAAATATTGTTTCATTTGGTAGCAGTGAAGTCAGGTTAAGAACAGCCAAGTGGGAATCAGCCTAATTATGTGCATGCGGCAAATCCCTAACGGTGTTATTGAGGTTGTCGAAATTTTCGTCGATTGGTATTAACGTCGATATGTGACTTCAACGGCATGCCAAGTTTTCACAGCGCATAAAGATTTCATGATGCAGAATAATGACAACGCTAACGAGAACATACAGCATTTATGATTGTCTTTTACAATATTCAGTTTTGCTAAGGTTTTGCATCTCTAAAGAAATCTGAAAGATTTGGGTCATTCCTCCTCCAATTGTTCTGTCAATATGTAAACTGCTCGCTTGATGGTGCGCTTATAAAATAGTACGTTCAGCGCAGAGGTGAAGCAAGTGACGCAGTGATGTGGGCAGATTTTTTTTTTTTTTAGGCGTGCGGGGAGGGGGGGGGGGGGGGAGTCCGCTTATCTGAATAGGCCGGGCAAGCGAATATGGTCGTCAATTTGGGCTCCCTACGCCCGGCCTAAAAAAATCTGTGCGCAACCGCCTGGCTATGCCAGTGAAGTGATGCGACAATGATTTGTTCACTTACTGATTTACATACACTTTACAGCTCTAAAAAATGCTGCCCAAGGCCCCAACACTCAGCCGTTAACATTACATAAAGCCAATGGTAGAAAAGTGCCAGTATGAATGCAGCTACAACCCCGCCCCAATGTTTTTTCAAGCGAGGTAGTGTTGCGGAAATAAACTTTTAACTGCAAAAGTACACTGGCACTGCAGTGGTGACAGGGGAAGCAAGAGGGTATGCAGGCGGTAATAGAGGTAATTTAGTCCGATACGGCAAGCAATGGATACGGCGAATAAGAGCAAATCATTTCTCTTTCAATAGCGCAACCACTCAACAATGTATTGTAAGAGCATTAAATCTTGCTGGAAATGCCACTCACCTGCACGCTGATGCATGCACAGTCCTTTGTCCGACGAGCGAACAGGCTTGCAGATAGCTGAAGACGTGTTTACGATGTGTTTGTTCCACCCGGCAGCAAAATCCACAACTACTTCGCGCTCCATAAAGATAAATATACACTAACCTTCATCACGAATAAGTAGAAACGCAAATCTGCGACACACACACACGATCAAAACATAGCTCACAAGCCCGCACGTCCATGTGCTCGCCGACTACAGACCAAATGAATATGAGTAGTGCGAACGCGAACCTAGTTGCGCCGAAAAAAAAAAAACGTCGAGCAGTGGCAGCACAGGCGTCAGCGCAATGATTTCAGTGTGTTCTCCTAATACAATTATAAAAAAAAACTGAGGTACACTAAAACCCATAAATAAACATAAAAAGTCGAGAATAATTTTTATTCAGTGCTAGTCAACATAAACACTGAATAAAAATTACTTTGTAACTTACATCGTTTGCTACGCTAGCGCCACACTTGTCGTGCGGGCGCAGATGGCGCAGATTTGTCATTCTGCCCTCAAACTACACGGTGAAGCGTGCTACTAAGTGTATGGCTGATGAGAAGCGCGTCTGGGTCCGCTTTTTTTTTTTTTTCTTCTCCGATATATCTGGGCGGGGGGGGGGGGGGGGGGGGCTCCTTATGCACGTGTTTCGGTGCTTGATCGACTTTGACGCCCTTACTTCGCGGACGAACGGCGTGTCTAGGCTATTTTTATCGTTGTTTTGCACGTGTTTCGGCGTTCGGTCCGCTTTGACGTGCCAACTCTCCATTCTGCTGCTGCGTGTGTTAGGTATTTGCCGTACTGTATTCTCAGGCCTTCTGTGTTCAGCCAGCGCTGCTATCTTATTATCTACGGATGCTAAAATAAATCACTGTTTTGGTTTGGTGAAGTTTGGCACACAGAACAAACAATAATCTGGCCCATGAATATCAATGTGGGCGGCATGCATATTTGTGTGCGGTGTCCTGCCGGGGAGTAACCGTTGCGTGACGAGAGCATTTACAGCGGTTCCTCCTTCCGTTGCTCCCTTACAAACTTAAGATGAATACAGTTGCTCCCCCATTCTCGAACAAGTCGGCCATCTTGTTCCGCTTGGTCTTTTCTGAGAGTAACAGTCGGTCTGAAGGAGTAAAAACAGCCGTTGCTCCCATTTCGGCCATTTTTGGCTTAGAGTGTTGAAACAGCGAACGCAACAAGATAGCAGCGAGCGCGAAGGCTCTTAATTTTCTTTCATCATTGAGGATATCGACGTCCAATCTTCACTCACTCCCCCTTGATGTGCGGCTTGCGCAGCTGGCCGAACGCGTAGTCGGTGGACCACTTGCGCAGGCGCATGATGTTCTCGAAGTAGTTGTCCGGCAGGAGCTCCACCTTGGCGTAGTGCTCCTCGACGAGCGCGTCGTTGAGCAGCTCGTCCGGGTAGCCGATGTAGGGCCGGATGGCCTGCGCCTTGGCTCGCGCTCGCTGCCGCGTCTGCTCGTCCATCCAGTCGATGCCGTCGAGGATGGCGAGGAACTCGCGCACGATGAACTGCACCATGTCCAGGGCGGCGCCCTTGGCGTCCTCCTGGAAGAAGTGGCGCACGTACAGCGACGACAGCGCGATGCCCAGCGAGCCCGTGAGCGAGCCCATGCACTGCTCCCAGCGGGCCGTCTCGCGCGTCTTGCCCGTGAGCACGCCGTTGAACTCCTGCAGCCGCTCGCGCCACGGCTTGCCCAGGCTGGCGTACGACTGCAGCACCACGCGCCACACCATGTAGTTGGCCAGCGTGCGCGCGGGCGTCGTCTCCAGCAGGCCCTCGAAGCGCTGCACGAACGCCGGCACCACCACGTTGATCGGCTCGTCGTCCGCCACCGGGTCCAGCAGCAGCGAATTGAAGTAGCGGTTCCAGTCGATCTGCACGCGCGCAACGGGTGTCCATTCACCGCTGTTTTTATTTATTTATTTATTTTTTATTTATTACGTAAACCTGCATTCGATTCAGGAGCACTATAACAACGATGAATGGGGATACACACATTGTTGCTCATTTGCGAATTCAAGTACACTACGAAAACCCACAAAGCGAACAAGGCTGCATAAGCAGGAAAACTTAAGCAAAAGATCGCTTACATTCTGTTATCATACATGTATTAAAATAAAGAATACGTGATCACATAGTGTCAGGAAAAGATAGCGCCATAGCTCATCACGTACTCAGTTTCGTTTGTTTCCCAAATTACACCTTTGTTAGAATCGGAAGCCAGCTGAAAGTATGTGCGCGGATGCCCCATAGCGGTGGTGTAGTTTTAGGCAATCTCGCGTGAAAGAAAGCTGACGTTGACGGCATTTGTATCGGCGGTGTGTCTATATTCAGGCCTCAAAAGAAAAAGAAACTCTATAAAAGTCCCGTTACAATTTTATTGCGTGTATATAACGTGGGGACAATTCAATGAACCGAAAACAGCGCGTTCGCTATGCGATCGTTTTCAATAGGGCACGCCTATAGACACGTCTCCAACACGTAAACTGCTGCAGCCCCGGAGTAGCAACTATATATCATTGATTACAAAGTAAAAACTGAATCACAGTTCTTGCAAACGCGAGAAATTCTTTCAAAATTTTTTCAGTATTTTTAAGATTGTCGCCGTCATGTTGCCTGTACATAATTGGTTAGTAAGGCGCACTTAAGAGTACATGCCACTGATTCGAATAAGTTTTTGTAAGCCGAAACAGAGTCCCAGTTTTATTAAGCTCATTTTATGAAAGATCATAGAAACACTTACAATAAGCACAAAGGAGTTGAAGGTGATTTCGTTAGTGCCGACGTTCCACCTTTAGAGAACGCACTGAAAGCAACTAACAGAGCGTGCTACCATAAAGCATCAAGATATCGTACATCGGCGGACTCTGTTTTTATGAATTCTGTTGCGCCGTCGCAATGAAAGCCTATTGCATAGGTTGTTTTTCCTGTCAGAGCTACTGTGTTTATTTCCTTTTTTGTCAGTGGCATTGCAGCTCTGTCTTTTGTATATAACTTTTAACCACACACTCTGAAATCTCCCTGTACACGAGTTGAAGTGCTTTGAAGAAAAGGAGGGTGCTTTCGTCAAGAAATATATTCTTTAACGGTCTGTTTCACTACAATGCGCGTGACTTATCATACAGACTATTTGTATACGAAAAAAAAAATGCTTTTGAAACGAAAAGAAAGCACATCTAGTTTGAGACTACAATCGAGTCAAGTACATTTAGTTTCTGGTTTTATAGCTTCGGCGCTTAAGGAACACAGCAAGATAATCTGAAATATTCAACAAGATGCGTGACGCTCGGTCTTGCTGCTGCGAATACGAAACCGTCGACTCGGGGTGCAGGCATTGCGAACCTCGCATGGTGGAGACGTCTAGCATGGTGAATCCGAAACAGAACGAAAAATCCATGCGAGTTTTCGGAAGGGCTAGTTTTCTGGTTTGCGAGTGGCGTCTGCTGCAAGGTTTAGGCGAAGCTTTCCTACAAACTAGTTTTCAAATAAAAAAAAAGCACCAAGATCTCCGAAGCAGCCCCGTATGCTTACTTTTGGTGCCAGCTTCTTCAGGTCACTCAGCGGCATCTTGTTGTACAGCTTGCTGATGTTGCGCCGTTCTTCGCGCGGTGTAGAGTACTGGAATGGAAAGAAACTTGAGCACGCATACGACAAAGACGAAGCATTTGCTTGAAGCGTTTTTTTTTCAAGTTTATATTGAAAAGCGCGCGAAATTTCTATTTGATCCGACACAATAATTTAGGAAGCTACAAAATATTTCTACGCGGCAGACTAGTCTTATTAGACGAGTTTTATTAAACTCAGCGCAGCCCACCTGGTTTCACGCTAACACAAATTCAAAAAAGATATATGCATACGAGAACAGTTGCGCATGCACGCTGTAACGGCCGAATAGTACAGTTAGGTCAAGTGAACACACTATTAAGCTACCACTTTTTCAGATATGCGCGTATCTGGCTTAATCATCTACGACAGTGCAATGTAGGTATGTGTGTGATCTGAAGCCCCAGTGCCGGAAACCATACAGCAATCCTCGCCTGCTGGCTGCGCAGGGTGATTGTACACTTCCCAAAAGGAATAATTCCTACGTTCTCTACACTGCCACGATCACTCGAGTAGTGAACTGCACTGTATAAGCAAGAACGTGCCGATAAGCATACGCCGTCAAGCTTTTAAGGACGTAAAGTACGCTTCTGGGCAGTTGCTGACAAAAATCTGCACGTGTGCTCAAACACTATACACACGGCTGCCAACGATACATCATAGAGAAAAAAAGAGTTACACTAAGGATTATCACGTTCACGGTTTCAAATGACGAAGATAATGCTATGTTCGACTCACGTTTGCAAGCGTGATCTCGAAAAGCAGCGCGTTCTTGAGCTCTTCCTCGGCGGCCGTTCGGTCCGTGGCGCCGAGCAACATGGCAGCTTCCACCATGAGCTTCAGGTAAGCGGCCACCGCACTGTCGTTCAGGCCCCGCAGCAGATACGTGCGGTCGGGGAGGCCCAGCGACGTCTGGTCCAGATCGATGATGTAGCGTGTGTTGTTGCGGAAGTCCGGGATGACCGACAGGTCGAGCAGGATGTCGTGGCTGTAGCCGAAGCTCCGGTACTGGATGAGCGCGTCCAGCCAGTGGAAGCGCGTGGCGTTCCAGCCGGCGCCTTCGACAACGGGCCAGCCGCCCAGCTCGGTCAGGACCCGCTTCAGCGGAGTCTCGGCTATCGAGTCGATGACGGTCGTGTTCAGGCACGACTGGTACATGTACTTCATCTTCTGCACGAACCGCGGCTCGGACCCCGGGCGCACGGGTTCTTCAACGAGCACGCGCAGCTTGGCGTCCAGCTGGTCCTGGATGAGCGAGAACTGCGACAGCGACGACTTGTCTTCGGGTATGAGGTGCCTCTGCACCCAGCCGCCACAGGCGAACTGGTAAAAGTTCTCGCACGGGTCCACGCTTTGGTTCATGTTCTGCAGCAGCGCCGAGGCGGCCTGCACGCAGCCAGGCGACAGGCACAGCTTGGCGTCATCGCCTCCACCCATCAGCCGGTCGGCCTTCGAGGGCAGCGCCACGCCCTGCCGACCTGCGCACCGGACCAATCGGGGACGATTTGTGTTAGCGCTTCTTTACCGAACATTTCTGAAGTGAAGGTATCACAAAAAAAGACTATAAAGATCAAGCAGAAAGCGAGAAGATGTGGGCTGCTTTTTTAAATATGCCTCAACTCTCTTACTGACTGTGTTTTCGCATTCAAAGGAACGGTTATTTTACTGCTGCTAATACGGAAGAAAATGCAGCTTTGCCCAGCTCGCCAGCAACTCTCATCACAACATTTCCTGGCTGCTCCACTTGAGTGAAATACTTGTAAGGGCAGTAGCCTAGCAAGTTCCTGTAGATTTACACGTAGGTAGTAATAATATCTGGGGTTTTACGTGCCAGGATGTGATTACGAGGCACGCCGCAGTGGAGGCTTCGATCATCTGGTGTTCTTTAATGTGCACAATACATGGGTGTTTAGCATTTCGCCGCCACTGAAACGTAACCACCGCCGCTGGGATCGAACCCGTAACCTTCGGGTGCGCATCCAATCACCGCAACCACTACATCACAGCGGCGAACACCTGATTGTTGACACAACATTACAGCTACCAGAAAACAAAACGGCCACATGCGATTTTATTGGGTGAATCTACAGACAATTCATTGAGAGGGCGTATTATTTAAAACGATGTGAATCGGAAAATGGGTGCATTGGTTCTTTGGCTGTGTCGTCTATACACCGACTTACACCCGCGTTAATCAATCACCACTTTCTTGTTCCCTAGCCGCATGCGGAGCAGTATATGTATGCACGTACATCGCGCACCTAAGCAGCACGCCTTCATGATCGATAATGACCTAGGCACAGTCAGCACGTATTTTTGTCAGTCGAGCATTCGCGCATTTAAACATTGTGGCATTGTTTACGGGCGAACGTGAAGCAAAAGAGCATCTGATTGAATGCAATGTTCACAGAGAGGATATTAATCAGTCGATTAATAAGGTGAGCACTTTCGGTGCCTTATCGGCGTTGGCTGCAGACCTGTATAAAGATAAGTGAAAATCACGGTGCGATCCAGAATCAAACTTTCTGCGTGCTAGTCAAGTATTTCACCACACAGCAACGCCAGAGCTTGAAACAGCTTTGAAAAAATACCCATAGAGTCATATCGAGAAAAGACTCACGTTATCAGCTGTAATGTTACATGATAGAAGCGTATAATTGCGCCAGGCGTCTCACCACGTGAATCGCATAACGACTGGGTGGTTAGAAGTAATGGGCTGGGACACAATTCATTATGGTCTGCATAAACAAAGGCGTTTGTGCCACTAGAAAGAAGAAGAGCAACATTCGCGAAAGTGTTCACAGAAGGAGCAAGGAACGTGAAACAGCTTTCGCCTTGATGTAAAGCTAAGGATCCCAGCAATCTTTAGGGGCGAAGCTCTTTAGGGTGTGGGTCGTTCTCTACTTTATAGGGTAGTTGAAGTAGTAGTAGTAATGGTAGTAATAATAGTAGTAGTAGTAATAGTAGTAGTAGTAGTATGCAGCCACTTTTAGCTAGTTTTAAGAATTGTTCACTAGATGGCGTTGTGTATATGTTTTGGAAGCAATATCACTAGATGGCGTTAGTGGTTTTCCTATAGTTGACAGACAGACGGACGGACGTACAGACAGGCAGACAAGAGGGCGGGCGGGCGGGCGGATGGATTGACGCTTCGCCCGACTCATCAGCATTCACTCCATGTATATGCTGTTAATTTTTTTTTTTTTTTGGACGAACCGTCTCCCACCTCTTCAAGTGCTTTTCGACTAAATCTTCTAGCTTTACACTTCACCACTGAGCGCTAATGTTTTGCAGTCAAGCCAACTTCAACAAACTGACAAATGGCGCTGACGGGGATCGAAAATTTTCTTACACGCACAGTGTACGTGCTGTCACTATCACTCCGAGAGCCAGTTTTGTGGATAAAGGGTTCTTTTGTCACAGTAATGAAGGGCATTGACCACGCGTTTAGATCAATGAGAACTCGTTCAATTCCTACCTCTGCTGCCGTCTTTCCGTCTCTGGTGAAAAAAGCGCGCTTCCGGCGTTAGAAAATAAACTGCTGGCTTTGCGAGCCAACAAAACAATGAAACAATAGAGAAGCTTCATTTTCATCGTCATCTTCCTTCCCTGCATTCAGTGAAGGTCTCTCGCTGTGACCTTAGAGTAGTTTTAAACAACAATGGACGGCCACCGTCAGGGCAGCTGCGAAGGTTTAGTTGATTTAATCCAGCTTTTGCTCCACTGTGTCCTCTAGCTCTGCGATTTTGTGCTGTCTTACACCGCAGGCCTTGGTAACGACCGGAAGAACATATCAGGTGACCCCCCCGCCGTGCCTGCTGGTGCCGCCCGCAGCGCGACACACGACCCTGCCCCGGTCACCCGCAGGCCGGTCACGCGCTTGGTCAACGTGTCGCGTCGAATGACGTAACGCACCAGCTCGAGGCGTTCCGCCGAGGTGTGCTAACAGCGCGCGCGTCGCACAGAGGAGCACGCGGAATCTCGTATAATGCCGGTGCTGAAAGAGAACAACAGTCGAGCTGGGACGCGCGAGACAAAGGCGTTTGTAGGGCGTTGGATTGACGAAACATCGCAGACTTGACGCCGTGCTCCGACAATTAGTGCGTACGACCAGAGCGAGCCACCGGTGCGGTAGTGAGACAATGGTGGCGAAGGCACCGGCCTTTCGCGCTTCGTTGTTGCCGTCAACCGGGCTTTTTTTCGCCGTGCGCCGAAAGCGCGCCCTGCAGCGGATGCGGCGCGTCTCCGCGTTGTGTGCCCTCGTTGCTCGTGCGTGCAGAGCGAGCCGCAACGGAAGCGACGTGACGGCGGAAGGAGAGAAAGTGTTTCTTACGCTTCACTAACGCCTTCCGAAGCGCCGCTGGCGAAAAGCAAAGGGGAAAGGGGCGAAATGAAACGTCATAGTAATTGTTCATGGTTTGCACGTTCCTCATCACACGCTATAAATATGAGGGATGCCGTAGTGAAGGGCTCCGAAATTTCGGCAACCTGGTGTTCCTTAACCTACAACTGCATCATACGGGCCTCTATTATAGCGACCCGTGTACACTGAAGTGCGGCCGTAGAGACCAGGATGCGATTCCGTGACTCTCGGTTTAGTATTCGAGAGGCTGGTCCTGTTGGCACCTGTTTGATTTTTTGTAATGCCCAATATGTTGAAAGTCAGCACTTCCTCCGTTCCCGTCCATGGTTCACGCTGTTACTCGTTTTCTATGAATATGCTAGCCTAACACTTGCAAGGGTGGACTGATGGTGACGTTGGTAACGCTACATATTTTACTAACAGTGCAATCATCGACTTAGAAGACACACAAAGGTAAAAAAAAAAAAGAAACGTACTCTTGCATGTCCCTTCTCTCTTTAAAATTAACGGTCATCGTTATGTGCAACAGCTTAGGTCCAGCTATTTCATCCAAAGACAAGCCGACATTTCTGCGCCTAAAACATCGAGCGTCCTGCAGATTAAAACCCCACTTACCTATGCCACTGCTTTATGAATTACACATTGAATTTGACAAACCTTACGAAATATTGGCGCTGTTGTCGATAAAAATGAGTTTTCTCTTATCATGCATTTATATCATCATCATCAGCCTGACTACGTCCACTGCAGGACAAAGGCCTCTCCCATGTTCCGCCAGTGCATTTATATAACCACATTCAAATAGCTTCTAAAGCCACTGTCTGCTTTGAATACGCTGTAGAGGAAATTTGCACTCCTTCCAACACATATATTAATTTGTGTGTGCTATTAAGCGAGTGTCCTAACAGTATAATCGGGTGACTTTGTATACCATAATGTTATCACCCGGAACCAGGAGTAGCCAATGAAGTCAGATGATTTCCCCATGCTAACGTCTCTAGTTTAAATTCGTATCCATCTCATTAAGAGCCACCCGTGTTAGCTCCTTATCTGCGTTTGTGAAATTCTATTTATGGAGAATTGTGTGTACTCGGAGGGAGAGTACAGATATAATGACACAGACAATAAATGTACAGGCACCCCATTGCCTATAGGTAACACAACCCAATAAATGAACACCACCACCGATTATCCGCCTCAGCAAAGCGTGAGAAATCGGCGGCTTGTCTCGCGAAGCACATGACATGGTACGGCCATACTTTTCGACTAGGCGTCTGAGTTGCCGGAAGCACATTGTGGTCCGTTGGGCGAAATGAGGTCGGGGGAACCACCGCGAGTCTTCTTCGAATGTGTAGCGCCCAAGCAAGGTCGACGTGCATTTACCTTCTCGGCCTGGTCGGTTGCCAAGCCGCTGTCCACCGTTATCTGCGGCAAAGACGCACATGCAGCCATTACACTCTGAAAGACTTCGACGTTTCTATTTGGTTTCCAGACGTTATGGCCGCACTTGATCTCTAAAACGTAAAAATAATTAAATAAATCACCAAAAAAACACTCCAATTTCAGAGATGTTCGAAAGCGTCATTCTCCATTTGTCGGACGTCTTTACCAATACTTTTTTGAAGTGTCAGTATTAGCCTGAATTTTTGACCATTTGACCAGCAACCACTCTTCAATGCAAATTTAGTACACAGACGTTCTTGCACGTCACGTCAATCAAAACGTCCGCCATGACCATGAACTGAACGTGCCAGTTCGTTTTCAGCAGCAAGGCGTCATAGGAACTTCACCCCAATTCTCGTTACACACAAACAAACAAACTGAGCAGCGCATTTAATAACTCCCGGATAGCTGACTACAGGGTCAGTGCGTTTTCAAAAGGCGTTCTTGAACAGATCGTAAAAGGCAATAACGGCAGCCAAAACTAATGTAGCTGCCCAATGACAAACAGCACCTAATAAAGTAAATTTGCGAATATGGTACCTGTGTGTATTTCCGACCCCACGTTGACGTATTCGATACATTGTTTAGGTTTACTACGCCTGTTTTACGTCGGTTTTAGCCAACGCCGGTAAATAGTCGTCGCGTGTATCCCGCGGACAGCTCCGACCCTGTTAACTATGAGCAGCATTTTGGAAGCCGTAGCGATCTGTGAATGCATAGCCTTACCTTTCGCTGAAACTTCACAGATTACAACAAGAAGCACAAGTGCTGTGTGCATCATTATTTGCTATTGCAATGAATAAAAAGCGTTGCCACTGCTGTATATCGCCGATTGAGAATGCACTTGTCGCCTCTACCTTATAAACTCGCAACGTCAACACGAAATGCTGAAGTTTCCCAATGACAGGGTGCTTGTTTGTCCCTCGTTACATCAGCGGCGAAAGGTGGAGTCGTCGCTCGCTTTCCCAATGGCTGGACACGGGCCAGTCCTTCCTGTTAATTAAAATTCACGCGCACCGTCGGCATATCGGTGGCACCTGACTCGGGTTTCACGAGAAATGAGGAAACAGCCTTCGATATGCTGGCGGATATTTTTCACGCAATTCGTAACCATGTGATCACTTATCAGAGGCCGTTGCTGGACACTATACGGCGAGAACAAAACAATAAAGCAATCACTAGTATCATGTGAACTTAAACTGCGCTTAGAACGAGAACCTAGAGTAGAAGCAGATAGCAAAAAAAAAAAAACGCACACGGACAAGCCTTCTTCAAGCTTTCGGAACCCCTATTCTAAAACTACCAAGCCCCCAACACACGCTCCTAAAATTACGGCTATAAAGCAAATACACACATTAGTCAAAAGTTTCGTCGATTTCCGTTTTTTTTTTTTTTTACTGTGGCAGTACTATTGTATTTTTGTTTTGTTTGCTTTTTCGGAAGAAGGTTTACATTGCTGACAGTCTAACGAAAAATAAACATCCTGTTACTCTTCGAAGTGAGTGCCGATTTGCAACTCATTTGGCTTTATTAAAAATACCCGCAATTCCTTTTAATTGGTGAGGTTTTACGTTTCAAAACCACAATATTATTATGGGAGACGCCGCAGTAAAGGCTCCGAAAATTTTGACCATCTGGTGCTCCTTGACATGCGCTTATACAGGGCTCAAGCATTTCGCCTACCTCGAAATGGGAAAGATACGCGTTTTATTTCACCTTTTTTATTTGCTTTTTGTTAACGTGCAACCAACAACACACTCATCTTTCCTCTGTTTCTCTCTGTTCAGTCATTCATTGTGTTACCCTTCTTCTCATCTCATTCAGCAATGGAATAATGCCGATTCTCATCTCATTCAGCAATGGAATAATGCCGATTCTCATCTCATTCAGCAATGGAATAATGCCGATTCTCATCTCATTCAGCAATGGAATAATGCCGAAACAAGACTGTTATACCATTGAAGAAAATGATTGATAAAAAATAAAATGGCACACATTTACTGCACAAGCCGTCCGCCCCGCCGCGGTGGTCTGGTAGCTAAGGCACTTGGCTGCTGACCTGCAGATCGCGCGATCAAATCCCGGCTGCAGAGGCTGCATTTCCGATGGAGGCGAAAATGATGTAGGCCCGTGTTCTCAGATTTGGGTGCACGGTAAAAAAAAAAAAAAACCTCAGGTGGTCGAAATTTTCAGAGCCCTCCCCTACAGCGTTTCTCATAATCATATGGTGGGTTTGGGACGTTAAACTTCACATATCAATCAATCAAGCCGTCCACAACTTACGCCATAAGATGCGCAATTGTATACGATATAACTTATAAGTGGTATTGAATGTCGGTGCTTTATTTTCTCCTTTAAGACGGCTTTTCCACTAATGCCTTCGCGCGCACCAATTATCAGTAGTATTTCGAGTTCACTAGGGTAGAACCGTCTTACAAAAATGTTCTGTATTTTCATATTTCCCGCCTTGTTATTCGTTGCAAAAGACGCCGCCTCCTCCAGAACACAGTGACCCGCCGACCGAAGGCGGAGGCCACTGCTACGCGGCTACCAGACAGGTCTGAAGAGATCGTTCTCCGAGCTATGTAACAGTGAACGACCTTGGCATGGCTGTTCTGAAATAAAAAGACACCCTGGAGGGTGCAATCTTCGGTCATAATGATCTCGCAAGCTTTCGTATACAAACGCCGATGCGTCCACGCGGTCAAGGTCCCGCGTACGGCGGAGGCCGGTTGTCACGCTTGCCTAGCAGAGCACATCTTCCTCGACTCCCAATGGTTTCACTACGGCGCTGACATTCCTGCACGCTTGCCGCGCAAACTCCCGGGTTGTCTCGCTTTTCCAAAGACGCTGCGCTGTGCAGCTGGCAGTGTACGGGGCAGCAAGCCGTCGATACGCGTAGGACAAGTTTGTAGCGTATCTGCACTCTTGTTGGCTTCATAAATGTCCAACGAGGCTCCATACATAATCGACAAAGGATCCTGGCAACGATCACCATAAACTTACTTCAGCTTCATTTTTTCACGAGTTCAGAAGCAAGGTACAAAGCAACCCCGTGTATCGTTAAACAAGTAAACTCCAAGAAAAAAAAAAGAAAGAGAGAGAGAGAGAGACAAGACCTTTGACTCCTTTCGGACAGTCCTGGCTTGATCCGTATACGACTCTTTTTAAATAAGCACGTTTAATCTCTTTGGGTCTTCATTGTACTCTCTTTTCAGAGTCGTGTGACACCGTGGGGAGTTCCGATGCCTCTTTAGAGAGAGCTATATGCGGGGTAAGAAAGTACTCCCCGAAAGGAGTATCATATGCTCTTTTTTGTTTTGTCTTAGAATGTATAGACATTATGACAGATGCAAACTGCCTACATAAAATTATCCTGGGCTACAGGATCTCAGCGACACACACAGCCGCCTTTTGGCTTGTCTCGGCGTGAGTCAAACGATTCGCTTTGCTTTCCGACTCCCCCTTGGCACACTCTAAGAGACCCCAATCCTCCAATTTGTGTGCAGGTTATAAGTATTGTGGAACAAACGATAATCAAAAAGAGAAAGAGATTACGAGAAAAGAGAACCCACACGATTGTTTATCTGCTAAGGAGATGCCACTCCACACAACAGTCACAATGACTGAGTTGAGGTCTCAAATATATCGTATAATGCGAAACCCAAAACACAAAGGACACAGAGGAAGCAGTGTGAAGCCCATTTTTTTTTACTTCTTTACCTATTTCTATTCTTTTCGAAGTTTCGTGCTACTGCGGTATGTTTAGCTAGCGCTAACTCTATGAAGAAGTATCATGGGGTAAACGAAGTTATTTGTTACGTATAGGTGCGGTTTGCCATCTGTCAGCCACTTTCCTGAGATAACGATACATCCGAACGGCGTGACACATTCTCCTCTCGGCTGGATCGCGCTCTTACGAAAAGAGAGAGCATAATATAGTTAAAAGGAAAGCTTTGCTTATTCTGATTACCTATATTTTGCGGAAAAGGGGGGGGGGGGTCATCTCACTTAACGACAAATATATGAGCTATTGTACCGCACCCCATGCTTAATTTTTTTTTCACGTTACCCATCAGGCAGCCACTCAAAACGAAATAACTGGACCCACGGTAACTGATTATTTTTTGCTGGAAAGCACTGCGTGTTAAAATATGCACATTCATGCTCAGTGTTAGCTGCAACACGGTTTTTAAGGTCGAAGGAGTCCCAGGTTTGTTTGGAGGCACCGAGGAATGTTCAATCGGTTTGCGACATAGCAGTAATCGGAATCGCGGCGGCACATTGCAGGATTCAGTCCACTCGGAGCGCCGGCGCAGTGTCGCAGCTCGTATCGAACCCGACTGCTTTAAACGAGCAGTGCATGCCGCTTCGCTACAATGCGCCACTCACCGATTCCTCGCTGGTAGTGGTAGCCCAGCACCGCCAGTGCAGCCGCCATCGCGAAGAACATGAGCAGGGCCGTCGAGGCGACGCCGCACAGGGCCCGCTCCAGCCGCGTCCGCCGGTGCCACCATGGCGGGTTCCTGCGAGACACGCAAACAGCCGCCGTCAGTAAGTCAAACTCTCAACGAGCATTCAGCGTCAGACAGTCTAAAATATGTCAGCTCAATGCACGAGCTTTAAAAAAAAAATGCGCATGACGCGTGTTGAGCCACACACTGTTTACAGTAGTGTGGCGTGAATTTTCAAATACCGATGGCAGCAAAAGGGTGGTAAACGTTATCCCGATTCTCCATTCTCACTGCCAGGGTGTTAATAGCATGAAGGGAAAACGAAACCAGTAGAGAGCATCATGTGACAATCTTGAAGCCTAGGAGGAAAAAAAAAAGTGAAGCCGTAACGTGTTGGGATCACAACCCAACAGGTTACGGCAAAGCAACAGTATCGAGAACGAGAAGGTTGGCTTGTGGGCGCTATACCCTCTCCCTTTTAAATTTGTTCCGCTTAACAGTAACGAACACATTCCCCGCTCGTCATTCTGAAGACTATGTTGACGCGCCAGCGGAAACAGGCGAGCGTTGTGAGGCTTTATCTTCGAAATAGCGAAGCGACAAACGTATAGGATCTGGCAGGAAAGCGCTTCTCCGTATCCATGACGGCCGGCGCAAACAGGGCACGAAAGTACACGACAATGCGTTTCGTGTCCTGTCTACGCTGACCGTCATGAGTATGTTCCAACCAGCCTGGTTTTCCACGTTACTTCTCCGTATCAGCTCGTGTACATGCGAGCGTCACAGTATGCGTGATCTGGCGAAGGGCTTTGCACACAGAGAGCCTTCTTCGACAATGCGTTTTCGTCACACTTCGCATAGCAGCAGCAGCTGCGACCACACGGACCACTGGCCCCGCGTCTGTTTAACCAGACGACAGGTGCGCCAAGCATCGCGTCCTTCTCACGGGCGTTCGTCTGTGCTCTGGTGCGGCTGCTGCGGTCCGACGTCCAGCAGCCGGAACTCGTCCTCCTGACACTCCCGCGGTGCACCGACGTCCATGGCGGAGGCCTCCCGCTACCCGCCTTCTGTGCAACGCGCTTCCTCTTCTTCTTCCTTGCGCTCCACGCACCAGCGGCAGATCTTGATGGTGGTGATGGTGATGCCCCTGGGATGACTGGCATTTACCCACTCAGGGAGATCGGCCAAGAGTCGGACGGATCACGTAGCCTTAAATTGGTATGACGATAGTTATAGTGCGAGAACAAAACGACGACACAGAGACAAGGAGGACGTCTTTCGTGTCCTTCTTGTCTCTGTGTCGTCGTTTTGTTCTCGCACTATAACTATCGTCATGCCATACCAACTAGCCCGAGCTGCCACACTTAAATTGGTGTTTATTATGAGCTTGTTCATGCCATCTTTGCGGGGTATCCACCATATGCTTTGCCCAAGTGTATGTTAACCTCTTCAACCGCCACAAATGTTTAATCGTGATTATGTATACGTTAGGCGTCGGGATGAAGGTGTGCCCTATATAGGCATCAACGTGGGTGCATTGATGTAAAACGATGCTATAGCTGTCCAACGCCAGTCGGTATTGTGCAAGCTCTTGCACCTGCATCAAGGTACATAGTTAATAAACTACATCACTAAAGACACGCTTTAGTCTCGTGTTATGCCGATCCCTATGACGGAGAGATAGGCCCCGTTTTTTTTTCCCATCCGACTAGAGCTGCCGGCAACATTTAAGAAATGTTATTTTTTAATCAAAGCTAATTTTAGACTAATAATCACGCGTAATACACCCATGTTCTGTACTTGACTCTACCGGCGAGCAAATCGCGCAACTAGCCCTTCCATGGCGTTTTTCGTGTAGCAATGCGGCCCGCACTCGTTGCAATGTCGCGTTTATTTATCAATAGAAACAACAACATAATGTAAACACCAAGGGCATTAAAGATTACGCATTATACCAAAATATATTTTTATTTTCTCGTCTTAACACAATAGAAATTTTTTTCGCGGCTGGGCGTGAATTTTGATGGTAGAGTCTAAAAGCGGGGGCTCTCTGCTCTTTGTGGTCTGCATAACCCAAAATGTACTCAAGCTTCGTGAATGCTCTGCTTCTGATATATTTTCCTTTAAACATCAATAACGGTGATATAGTAAGAAATATTGGTCCTCAGTTATAGTTAATCTTGGTATTTTTTTTAAAATCTGTTTGCTTCTGCAGCTTAGAGTCGCTAAGCCAGACAGCTCATACCCTGCCCCCCCCCCCCCCCGCTCATTTTTTTGTCGATCATGGAAATGCCACATTGTGCAAAGCTCAGCTTGGCTCATCTGCGCGTCCCTAGTGTACTAATATAAACACAGTATGTTGTTGCTGTTTTTTAAACAGATTATATATTAGTCCTAACGAACCAAATGTTCCAGTGAACGCTCAGTGCGCGTAATCCAACTGGGGCTGCTTCTCACTCGCACAAAAGCTTATGCGTCAGAAAACTGTCCAAAAATAAAATTTATACCTCTGAACGCACGGCATAGTCGTAAACGCAATCGGCATAGTTGTAAACGCAATCCGATCTAATTCATAGTATAAGGTGAACTGACAGCTACAGCAGTGTAATTGTCAAGAAAGTTAAATTGCGATTAGGATGTAGAAGTCACACGACTGCCAAAACATCATGGCTGTTCCACTCAACTATGGTGGCCATAGCATAGCTCAACGTGAACGCTGTAGTAGGTGTATGGAGAGTTTGGAGCATGCGATTCGCGTGCCCTTCAGCGACGCTCGTATTCATGGGCAAGCAAGAGCGCTGGCGTCGCAAATTTGTAACCTGCTCGACGTCATGGAGGGAAATAAAACCTTCACTTTGTGATGCAGTACCACCCTCTGCCCACCTCCTTTCCTTCTTTTTTCACTTCCCTTTTCCACGCCTTTGCTACCATATTATACACGGCTATAGTATGATTTACCCTCCTCTATATTTTCCTTCATCACTCTCACTTTTCTACCCCTTGCTATGCTATACCACATGTGTATATGCTGTGCCATGCCTTTTCCCTTTTTTTTTTCTTTTAACCCTCACATCCATTTCTCTTCCCCTCGCTATACTATACATAACTATATGCTACATGTGGTTTACTTGGCGGGATAAGCGACATGACACACTAGGAGCCAACAGCGCAGGCCCCTAAAGCCCAGACCCTTGCCATGCCCTCTCACCTCCTTCTTTCCCTACTCCTCACCCAAACATCTTCCTTCACCTCTATATATTATACTATACACAACTAAGCTGCACGGGGATTTCAACAGCGTGAAGAGTGACATGACCCATAAGGGGTCAACAGTCCAGGGGTGCTATGTAGGATACGGGCAGACGAGTTTGCTGCTAGCTCGCTCTACGGCGGCCATGGCATGAAGACAGTTGGGGGCACGTGATAGCCGCGCTGATAAAAATGTCTACAATAACGCGCGTAGCATCAGGAACGCATGTAGGGCATTTGCGGTGGTTATCAATTATATTAATTATTGGGGTTTAACATCCCGCAACCACCATATGATTACGCGAGACTCCGTATATAGTGGAGCGCTACGGAAATGTCGACCACCTAAGCGCAAAGGCCTGAAGCATTTTCCCTTTCATCAAAAATGCGGTTGGGGCTCGATCCCGCGACCTACGGGTCAGCAGCCGACTGTTTTGGACCACCGTGGTGGGTTGTGGTGGTTATCAAAGAAACACCGCATGCGTACACGTCAGCGCTGCCAATCAGGCAACATTACAGCAGTGCAGGACTGTCAGAGTGATTGTCTCGCTCTATTTCTTGCCAAATAAACACGCGCCTCCCACTGGCGTGTTCGTGGGAGTTTGTCTTCTTTCGGGCAGGTTCGTTAGTTCCATGAAGTGTCCTAAATATACACGGGTGTATGTTCCTGTCGCTTGAAGCTGTTTTCTCGTAAAAAAAAAAAGATCAGCGAACTTTCAGCAGTCCCGCTTGATTATCTTATTCATTTAAGCTTAATACATTAAATCGGGTCACGAAGTTCAAAAGAATTCGTTCTTTCCTTCGAAACAAAACCGAATCACAGCGATAAAACGAAGCCACAAGTGCGATTCGCCACCCACAAGTACGAAGAATATATGCAAATCCGTGTACTACCCATCATTATCAAGGTCACCGAACAATCGCAGCGCCGGAGTTTTCATTCCACTTCCAGCATAGAAATTGCCACTCTTGAAAGCAGCAACCGCAGCACCTCCAGCTCGTTCGGCTTCTATCAAATATTGGAGATAAATATGAGGACAGGTTGTCACCAGGGGCGATCACATCGTGGCGGCTACGCAACTGCGAATGAATACGTCGTGAGTGCTGTGAAAGTGAATGCGAGACATAGCAGCCACGTGATGATATAACTTTTAATTCTGCAGTGTGTGCATAGTCTTGGCAATAAACCTGATAGATAAATCGTGCTGCTCGCTGGAGTTGCCGACTTGAGCACAACTCCTCGGCAAGAGCGAAAGTGGTGGGCGGACCCGATCTTCACCGCAGACGTCCTGTCAAACCGATTGACACGGGAACTCGGATACAAACTCGTTAATTCTAAGAACGCCCCTGTCCAACTCGCCAGTGTCACTGTCAAGTGTTTGAAGTGGTGACGCTAAGCGGATGCTTCTTTGTATATAAAATAATTTGGTCAGCTTGCACTGCCACAGAGGAGCTCGTGATAACCTAGCTACTTCCAGTTTTTGAATTCAGTCGTCTACTCATCGGCCCTGTCTGCTTCGAAGTGAAGGCCGCATCAGCTCTGTGTTAATTTTGATTCTACTAATTATCTAAGGCCTAATGAACATAATTCTGAGCAGTCATGTCTTAATTGATAAGGTTTCAATTTAACGCCAATAATTACCTCGGGTGCAATAAGCGAAACCACCATTAGCATAGAGCATTTTAACGTAATTAAGATTAGCACGATATGTGAATGTCATCGTATTAGTAAGTTTTAATTAGCATGGCTTTACTTAGCACGATCATGGTTAACATCGCGTTAATTAGCATGGTTTTGTTAGTGCGTCAACTAGCATGCTTTA